AATACAATGCTAAGTCACAGCTTGTGCTATCAAGCTGAAGAAGAGGACGATTTAAGTGACAAAAGTGAAAGCAACACACTTTCAGTGCACTGAAGTCATTTGATAATAAATGATAGATTTCTCTCATGTGATTCACTTTTTCATAAGACTCTACTGATCACAACATGAGCACAATAGGATACCAAACCTGTTACTCTGAGGTTTCTTTAGATGCATCCTGTTTTACAGGCCTGTTTAAAAACATTTCAGGGCCTCACTGTTGTCCATAAATGCTGCAGCTTGAGTTTGTGACTGCTATTAGTGAGACGGCATAGATGGAAAAAACAAAAGTGACTAGCAACTTCCCCTGCCCTGGGTCACTGACTGCCTTTGAATTGCAGTGCCTGCTTGTTTATTGGGTTTCAGCTGAGAATGACTGGCATCCTGCCTCTTCCTGTACTGTTATATGTGCATGTGTGAACCCACCAAGAGTCCTAGAAACACGGGATGCATCCCAATTGAGGCCTTCGTCTGCAATTGCTTTCATCACGAGCGCTCACTTATCAGATAGGACAGGTTGAAATAAAGCTAATCAAAGGCCCATGAATGGATGTCTGAGCGCTTTTATGTGTTAGTGTGATCAAAACTACAGGTTAAAGGGAGGAGATGATAAGAGTGGGGGACACTACTGAAGTTCATCATGAGTTGCCAAGTTTTTCTGCTTCTGCAGCTTCCCTCCCATCTTTGATATTTCAGCGAGATTCCCCGCAGTTCACATGCTAGTGTCCCTCGCATTTCCATTTTTATAAATTTCCTCGGGGGGAGAAAGCCTTGTTTGTTTACTCCATGTTATAACTGGCTGTGTGCCATATTTCTCATTGCCCTCCACACTGTCTGTTTCTATTCCTGCTTGATTTGCGCCTTCCCCAATGCTGCAGAAGGTTTTTGTAACTGAGCCACATAACTATATTTAAATTTATGGCTCTCGATGATAAAATTATAGTCTTTAACAGAAGGCTTTGCCACAAGTCTGAAAACTCAAGCGGTTTAACAAATTCCAAACATTTTCTGCTGTTACAATAGTAGATGTGAAGAATTGTGCATCCTTTGCTGGAGGGTGAACTCTGTAAATGCTTGTATTTGTATGTGGATCACACAAGCATGTGAGGCTATTATAACTAACTAGGTCATTGTGATGAGACTACTGTTCATCTAAACTATATATAGTGCTAAAATGAAAATGATGAAGAGGCTGTTTTGTCTCTGTAGCCCGAATGCACAATGATTTTCCTCAGCAGACTAACAGAGAATTCTCCAAGCCCACTCATCCCTCTTTAATTCACTTACACAGTAAATTAGACTCTTGATACACTCTTAAAGGGAAGATCATGATGATTGAGGGGAAATGAAGTGCAGGTGATTCAGCAATTCATTACATTTTTGTAGAGTATGTTGTGATTCAAGTAAACATCTTTGTGTGGTGATTTCATGTGCACATGTGCAGCCTTTTTACTTTTATTAGTGGTTATTATCTCATACTGTTTAGACATGAAAATGTAATCTATGAAGGTTATGTTTAATGCAGCATCACTTCATTCCTTAATCAGTCTTCAAGGGTAAATGTGGTGCCGTGAGAAACATCTGTTTTACGGGTAACTACCACAGTGGTGGTTTTGAGTACGTTGGCAGGTGTTTTGTGTGTCTGGATTCTCCGTGTGGTAGCATCCCCACTGTGCAAGATGAATCTTTACAGCTGTGTAGTTGAGATCAAAATGAAGGACTTGTTGGAAGACTTGCAGATTATCAGCTCAAGAAGTAGTGAATATACACTCAACAAAAATATAAACGCAACACCTTTGTTACTGCTCCCATTCCCCATGGGATGGACGTAGAGACCTAAAATTCATTCCAGATACACAATATAACCATCCCTCCCAAACAGTGGTCACAAATCAGTCCAAATGTGTGGTAGTGGGCACATCTGCTATATTGAGATAATCCATCCCACCTCACAGGTGTGCCACATCAGGATGCTGATCTGACATCATGAGTAGTGCACAGGTGTACCTCAGACTGCCCACAACAAAAGGCCACCCTGGAATGTGCAGTTTTGTCTCACAGCAAAATGCCACAGATGCCACAAGCAATGAGGGAGCGTGCAATTGGCATGCTGACAGCAGGAATGTCAACCAGATCTGTCGCCCGTGCATTGAATGTTCATTTCTCAACCATAAGCCGTCTCCACAGGCGTTTCAGAGAATATGGCAGCACATCCAACCGGCCTCACAACCGCAGACCTCGTGTAACCACACCAGCCCAGGACCTCCACATCCAGCAGGTTCACCTCCAAGATCGTCTGAGACCAGCCACCCAGACAGCTGCTGGAACAATTGGTTTGCACAACCAAACAATTTCTGCACAAACTGTCAGAAACCGTCTCAGGGACGCTCAACTGCATGCCCGTCGTCCTCATCGGGGTCTTGACCTGACTCCAGCTCGTCGCCGTAACAGACTTGTGTGGGCAAATGCTCACATTCGATGGCGTCTGGCACGTTGGAGAGGTGTGCGCTTCACGGATGAATCATGGTTCACATTGTTCAGGGCAGATGGCAGCTGAGAATGTCCCAGTTCTTGCATGGCCAGCATACTCACCGGACATGTCACCCATTGAGCATGTTCGGGATGTGCTTGACCGGCGTATACGACAGCGTGTACCAGTTCCCACGAATATCCAACAACCTCGCACAGCCATTGAAGTGGAGTGGACCAACATTCCACAGGCCACAATTGACAATCTGATAGACTCCATGCGACGATGTGTTGCACTGCATGAGGCAAATGGTGGTCACACCAGATACTGACCGGTTCTGGGTCCCCAGACCCCCAATAGCGCAAAAAACTGCACATTCCAGGGTGGCCTTTTGTTGTGGGCAGTCTGAGGTACACCTGTGCACTACTCATGATGTCAGATCAGCATCCTGATGTGGCACACCTGTGAGGTGGGATGGATTATCTCAATATAGCAGATGTGCCCACTACCACACATTTGGACTGATTTGTGACCACTGTTTGGGAGGGATGGTTATATTGTGTATCTGGAATGAATTTTAGGTCTCTACGTCCATCCCATGGGGAATGGGAGCAGTAACAAAGGTGTTGCGTTTATATTTTTGTTGAGTGTAGTACTGCAGAAGTAGGAAGGTCAAGAAAATACCTGTGATGAGGCTGCTGTGATCCCATCGCCAGGGGATCTCTGTTTTTAACTCATCCAGGCACAGGACTAGCGAGCTTATGCCACAGTAAGTTCACAGGAATAGCTGGTAATCCTCTAGAATTAATCAAACTTGCATACCGTGATTACCTAATCAGGTCTGCACACAAACTGTGCTTGATGTCAAAGTCAGATTTGTTGTTTTATGGGTTATAAGCTATGAAACATTCTGGTTTTAACGTTATCTATTAATTAATGAACCCTGTAAATGATACTTTAAATCTCTAGTTTTCACATTCAGGTCTCTGTGAGTGAGTCTTGAGAAGTGAGCGTATGAAGCAGACCTTTTTTGTTACTGTATTCTGATCTTTTTTTAGAGTTAATGCATTTTGCAGTGTTGTTGGTTTGCAGTTTTTCTTATTTTTACCCATCACTAAGATTTTCAAGATCCAAGGCTGCTGATGGCTTTAACAGGCCTCAGTCTGGCGCTCTTTGTCGGTTTCTGGAAATTACCTTTTCTTCTTCTTCTTGGCTTTTCTTAAAGCTGTGGTAACAGCACTGTCACCACACTAGTAAAACCGTAAAGGGTTACTGCCATAGTCAGAGCAAAATACTGCCCTACACTGGAGCTCAGCTCAGGAGACCATAAGCAGAAGAATTTGAGTTTAGTTTGTTCATATTCGAGCACCACAGCAGTCTTTATATGCAAACCTTGGATCGTTAACGCAGACACTGGAGTCAAGATCAGGTTTCGTGTCATGTTTCATTCCACAAGCTCTCAGTTTCAGCCGTTTCCTACAGAGCTCTTTGCGTGTGTGTTGTGGAAAAAGTACAAGAAAATGCTGTACAGAGCTTTCGGTGTAAATGGGCTGTTTTGAAATGCTAACAAAATTGTGATTGTCAGTTTTTAACTTTGAACTGTCTCAACAGTTGAGACGGTTCAAGCTTGTGCCATGAAGGGTCGCGGCACAGATGTGTGCAGTTGGATGTTTATTGTTCTATTGTGTCTGTGATGGTGTTACAAATATAGATATGGAAAACAACTTGGGCATTAATTAAATACCCGAAAAACCTGATCAAAAAATTTTTTTTCTAGCATGTTTGCGTAGGTAATACTTGTGGCCTTATACTTCGGTTTGGCAGATTGACTCAAGGCGAACACCACATCAGATGGTCTAGTTGCGTCATTTTTCTTAAGATAACCACTATGATTATAAAAACATAATAACGTTAATTATAAAAGGCCTTTAAACTTATCACAATTATCCACTTCTGCAGTGATTGTCATTGCAGACCTGTTGTTCCAGACCTGCAGCTTCAGTGTTTTCCGTTCTGTGATTTTAAGCTTCCTCCCTTCCTTGCTTCCTCCTCCACCCTCCTGCTGTGATGTGGCTTTTCTTTCTCTGTTCCTTCCATTATCTAGTCTTCATAAAGTGTTCTTTATTAATTGACATGATCTGATGGCACATGAAAAGGAGCGCCCAGCTATGGAAACAGTTTCACTGTAACAACAACAACAACAGTGCTCGATTCTTACTGTAGCCAAATTATGGTGAGACATTACAAGCAGAAACTGTGTAAAGTCCATATATATACTCACAGAAATGTGCAAAAAGGCTACTTAGTCAGACTTTATCTGTGCTAAATTAGAAACCTGTTGCTGACAAGGGATTCAGACTTAATCTGTTATAGTTTCTGTTGTTGTCTGAAAAGGCACTCATCTTATTGTCTCGCACCTTTTCCTCATTTTTCCTGTCAACAGTTACGTTTATGATGTTTTAATGACTTTTCCCCCCCTCTCTGTTTTCAGACTGCCAAAGGCTACATCCTTTTGTTTGATGTGCTTGGTGGAGGGGATGACAAGTACCTCTATGAGCCCGTCTATCCAAAGTGAGTGCGCCACACATTCAGACTACTTTTAAAGAGCTATCGAACCATTGTTTGATAAATGTGTTTAAGATCCCCATTAGTATCAAAGAGGGTTATAAACAGTGCGTGCTTGAAGACGAGCCTACCTTATGATTGACATTTTGCTGCGGTTTAAGCAGCATCACTCCATTTGTGTCTCTGGGTACACAGAAAGAGGAACGGTGGGAATTTTGTGGGCTTGTCTACAGTCTGTTGACACAGAAAAGAAAAGGGAACAACAGCAACGCTCACAACAAATAGAAGCCGGGGAAAAAATTGAGATCAAAAGACACTCATGAGAAACACAAATGACCATCTGCACAACTGCTAGGTGTTTTAGGCAGATCCACCCCTCACTCTTCATAACAGGTTTGCAGTAACAGAAGTATGAGCCACACAGGCCTTAGAGACTGGTCACTAACCAAATCTGTATTCCCTGATTCACTGTTGGCAAGTGGTTGCTGCCTGCTGCTGAGTGAAATCTGTAACAAAGATCACAAAAAATCTCCTTGTAATTGCTTTTGCGACTCATTTTTGTGGGGTTTCAATTAGGTGGTAGTACCTTGTACCAGGTAAAAACTACAATCGGAGAGCCTCTCCTTCAATGAAAAAGCTGTGCCTTGCTTCTTCAAGCATCATGTTATAAAGGCCACAGCTGTGAGTTTAAAGGCAAACAGTTTGTGTTTCAGGTTTCTTCACAGTTTCACTTTTGTTTAGCAAGTCGTTGGAGTGGTTTTTTTTAAGGCATGTCAGTGTCTTCCATGCAAACTAGGCGCTACCAAATCAGTCACAAGGACATTATCAGTACATCATCATATACCTCTGTGTGACCAGCAAGTACCCTCCTGCAACCACACTGCAACTGGTTGAGAAATACACTGTGTAAGCTGGTGTTTACCAGGAGGACACTAACCTTTCTCTTGATTTTACAGTCGGTACTTTCATCCTTTATATACATATGCAGTGATTAGTTGAACAGGGCCCAGATTGCACTGGTTACCTCTTCTGTCAGTGATGTTTGCCTCGCTAAACTGCTGTGTCTCCATCACCTGTGTCTACATATACAGTCAACCATAAGAGAGAGAACAGGAAACGCTGCCTTGAAGTAAAACTCTTAACTTATTCACTCTGGCAACTGCAGTTGCCAGTTTAATCTTTTACTGTGTCTGTGATGCAGACTTTGACAGTGAAAGGTGGTTATGTAATGTTATGGGTGTGGTATCATTATGACTATCAACATGTGTGGGGGGAGGAAAGCAGTAGCAGGTATACAGGTGCAGTTTACTAGTAAACACTCTGTTTGCTCATGATTGCATTTGCGTCATTAGAGCAGGCGGTGAAATTATAGCTGCAGTTTCTCCATTACCTCCATAGCTGATCCTCAGAGGATTAGAAATATTCAGAGCACATTCAGATTTTTCATTTATTTATTTTTTACAGCATTTAGCTTTTTATAACTGTGAAAATAACACGTTTTCCTTTTTCTTTTTTTTTGCCATGAAGTGTTGATTAATAGGACCGTAAGATAATTTAAACATTCAAAATCTAAAACACAATAAAATATCCATGAAGTTTAGCAAAGTGAATACTTTTCCGTCTGCTTAGGGATGTTTGCTCTCTTCTCTTGCTAATTCTCCCATGTTTGTTCACCATATAAAGCATTTGTTTGATTGAAATGCGGCTCAAAGCGTGTACTTCACATTCCTTTAGAGCACACCAGCAGCGTTTGAGCAAGTTAGGACATATTCAGTGTTCATTGTCAGCTCTGTGACTTTGCAATTTTAGCATTTCACTGGGTTTACTTTCATGTAACTGGGAGTAAAATGTGTGTTTGGAATGATGTGGTTGCACAGAGGAAGCCCTCGTGTGAAGGTGACCCCTGGTTTTAAGGAGGAGCAATGTGCACCCGCTCTCTCTCTGGAGATGAAGAAGCCTGTGGATCTGGAGGCCCCCATCACCAGGTAGGTGCTCTCTCATACATACTTTCTTTCTGTTGTGTCTACCTGTCTGCCTCAGCCTCACACAGGCATCAGCTCACTCCCTCTCGGTCTTTGATGTGTCATCAAGCTCACATTTACACAGGCAAATTCTCCTGCACAAACACACACACTCAAGGTTTACTCACACTCTGTCTCCATTCAAGCACTCACTGTAAACTCTTAACAATGTTTATGGCCACCTCTTGAGCTTAGCTTCATCATTATCTGTTTATGTTTCCATGTAAATAACTCTTTCTTGAACCTACAAATATTTACCTGGGTATAAATGTTCTTGTTACTTTCAAAACAGTGATTTAAAATGTCGTTAATTAAACACAGGCAGGATAGCTTCCATAAAACCTGCACAACAAAATCAGAATCACTGTTGTTCTGTGTGAGCGCTAACTATAGTGTTGGATTTGAAACATTTTAAGGATTTAAGCTGTGCACAAATGCTTCTCAGGTAGTTTATCAGCAGCTATTTAAATATTAAAACATTTTTTTTAACAAATGTAGCTCTTTGTGTATACGTGACAGCCATTTGGCTCACGGTAATGGCTCGAAAACATCTCTTCCTCTGATGGAAAGACAGTGTTGGCAGTGAGAGACAGCTCAGGTGCAAAGAGAAGCTAAAGTCCTCTGATGTGGATTTTTAATGGCAGAGGCCCACAGAGAGGAAATGCATGAATTGGCAAAAATGAATGAGAGGGAGGAGTGAGTGACAGATGAGCTAACTGATTAAAGCAAAGAAGACATAATTAATTCAAATCAGACTCTTATGTTTTCTGGATAGTTTGTATTCAGATCATCACAAGGTGTTTTAAAGATGCAAATTGTGTGATGAGAATCCATCATTAGTTTTTTTGTTTTGTTTTTTCCATTATAGGTTTGTTGACTGTGCTTTCTCTCCAGATGTAACGTTTCTGTTTTGCCTGTTGCATTTTAACGAGTGTGAACTGTTTTTATTCCATTAATTAGGTCTTTGATTATGTCAGACAACCTGAAGTTCATTTAAATGGCTCAAACTCATTTGTAAAAATTAGGCAAATAGGGCTTGTAAATTTTTTTTATTTTTTACATGTTTATATCAGTGTGAAGACGGATCCATTTCCAGTCATTTTACTCTGCGTTAGCCTCGAATAACAGGGAAAATTACCTAATGACCTCACTATATTTGTAGAAAAACAAATGTAAATCTTTCACGTTTAAAATGTTAAAGTCTAATCAATAAATCATCAGGACTTTGTGATGCAATGAATAAATCAAGAAAACAATCAACAAATTAATTGATTAAAAAGTGTGACTGAATTTACACTATACAGTGAAAGTTCAGTGATCAAAGCACATGATTTCATCAATGTTACTGTAAAAGCTTTTAGCATATATTAATGAAATGGCCAGCACGTTTAGAGTACTGGGCAAAACTCTTGGGGGAAATGGGTGCTGTGATTGTTTAAAACAAGTACAAAAATGTGGTTTGTAGAGTTCTCCTCAGACTGTATGTCAGTATTTGGTGTGACCTCCTTTATTCTTCAACGTAGTCTGAACTCTCTTAGTCAAGCTTTCTTGTAATTTCTTTAAGTTGTCTTCAGGAATAGTTCTCCAGGCTTCTTGAAGGACATTCAAATCTCTTCGTTGGATGTTGGCTGCCTTTTTGTTCTGTTCTGTCAAGATGACCTGACACTACTTCAGTAATCTTAAGGTCTGGGCTCTGGGGAGGCCGACCTATGACTTACAATGATCCACAGTGTGTGTTTTTTTTTTGTTTGTTTTTTCCATTTAAGTATGTTTTTACATATGAACAGTTGCTAATCAGAAGCATTCCAGATGGCAATTGCATGGTGGATCAATATCTGATGGTATTTTTATTCTTCTATCAATTTAGATTAAATCTCCAACAGCACTGACTGAAATGCAGCCCCAAACCATGACTGTAGATGCACTCTTTCCTGACCTCATCTGTAAATATTGGTGATGATCTGAACCAAAAAATTTCAAATTAGGATTAATCACCCAAAAAAGACCTGGTGCCATTCATTTTCAGTTCATGTCCAGTTCTTGTGTAACTTGGCATACTTCAGCCTTTCTTCCTGTTTCTCTTCCTTAAGAATGTTTTCCTGGTAGCCACCCATTTCCAATGAGGCTTCAGTGAACAGTAGATGGACCAACCAAAGGGCACGTTCTGCAAACCACTTCAAGATATGCCAACTTTGCGGTTAATGGCGCTTGCAAATACTCTTGTTGGTGGAAAAATGAGATTTTATGCGTGTCAACGTGTTAAAATCGAAAATGAGTTCTTTGCTCAGTTGTTTGTGGAGAAACAACACTGGTTTATCCTTTCAGTTAGAGGCCATTTATGCTTAAATGATAGGTCAGTGTTGAGCGGCTTAATGAACAACAACAAATAAAGAAACATTCCTGTAAAACTGATCAGGTAAGGAGTGGACTGAAAATGAGTGAAAAAGCAGCCAATGTAAAAAGAAGAACTTTGATCTTCAGAAATCGCAGAGAAATATTGCTCAAGACTATTTTCCAAAATGTATAGTTAGTGTAGCTCCCTGGACACGCAAAGTGAGGGGAGGCACTAGAACGATGGAGCCAGTCTAATACAATTGCTTTCTGCTCTATGGTGGTTTGAGTTTTGTGTTGTTTTAGTTTCTGTCTTTGTTCCAGCTATAACCCACATGTCCTGGAGCTTGACGTGTTTGACGTTTAATGAGTGACAAGAACTTTTACTGTTTCGTTTTGTCCGCCTTTTTGTTTTTGTTTGTATTGTTCCGTGTTCATCTGCCATTTCTCCTCCGCTGTCTGTGCTCGACAGAGATTACGGGGTAGTCATCTGAATTAGAGCGCTCTGTTGGCATTTCACAGGCACAGCTTGATTGTGCAGGAGATGAGTGGGTGTCTCCTGCTGCGTGAAGCTGCAGTAAAAGACGTTGCCTCCTCCACAGTGTCAGTCCACTGTGCTTAAAGCCTTTGCTTCCCTTCATTTTTCCACTTGCTCACTCTCGGCTGTTGTTGTCGTCGTGCCTTCCTCTGTGTTAAACCTCTTACCCCTTTTTTTTTTTTTTTTTTTTTTTAGGATACAATGAAGTACTTTACCCACACAAACACACTGTTGTTTGTTCTCTTGTGTGTTAAAAGATAGGGAGACTTGGCACTAGCAGCAACATGGCCTCATCACAGCTGCCCAGTAAAACTTTCAGTCTTCACACGGGGCACAGCTGGATGATGAATAGCCCACTGTTTTCTGTCTTGTTATGTTGTTTCTACCCTGCCTACCTAGCTCCCCCCGCTTTCTTTTACTAACTTCTTTTTTTCCCCTGTTCCTTTGATTAATATTTACTTTTTTTAAAAACTTCTTCCCACTAGCCTGCAGTCCCTCCAGGAGGATTTGCTGGTGTGTACCGCAGACGGTTATCTCCATGTGCTGCATTGGGATGGGCTCGGCAGCAATGGACGCAAGGCCATCTGCCTTACTACAATCCCCTTCTCATTGGACCTGCAGTCTGCTCGAGGTTAAAAGATCAATGCACTCTGCTCAAATACAACAGAGTAACATTAAAACAAAATCAGCCTACAGTAGCTTTTCAGCCGGGAAAATGTTATCTTATAAAAGAAGTTCTCCCTCCCTGTGTATTTAGGTGGCCCTTCTCTGGACCTGGAGGGGGTTCATATCCGCTGTATGGAGTACTGTGTGACCCTGGATGGCTTTGCTGTCGTACTGAGTGACGGACGCCTGGGCTTTATCACCCCACTGAGCAACACCATCACTGCAGACGTAAGGATGCTCACAGACACGCACTGGTCACGTTAAAGCACACAGACGGTCAAAACAGTTGAATTAGTCATTTTCCACAACGGCGTAATAATCGTAGTCGAGACATTGTGCGCAGTTGGCCCTTTGTTTATGTGCAGTACACAGCAGGAGGCGGTTTGTGTCAGATCTGTTCTCACTGCTCAAACTATGTTTGGTTTAAGCGAGGGTGCTGCAGGCCGGCCACATGCCATCCACCCGTCCGCAGTGAATTCTTGAATAATTACCTGCTCTATTTTCACATGGGCAAAATCACATTACACAGACCTTATAGTAGGGAGCTGGCAGCGTAAGGGCCATTAAATGTCCAAGACGACAGAGTCAGACCTTTGCTTTCTCACATAGCGTTCCACTCAGAAATGCTCAAGGCTGCAGTGCATGTGTGAAAACTGCTGTTGTTATGGCATTAAATAGCCAATTTATTATTACAGGACACCTGACACCACGATGATGGGAACACTATGAGCCCTATTTCATGCAGCCAAATCACTAACAGCATAATGATTTCTCTGTTTTGTGAAGATAACCATGCTTTTTATTCTGCAAATCAATTGAGTGCTCTGGTTGGCTTTTAGTAGACTAGAACGGCTTGTTTCAGGATATAAAGTTCAGAATTTCTTCTTCTTCTTTTTTTTTTTTTTTTTTGTAGTTTTGCTTGTGTAGCTTTTCAATCAGACAGTCACTATGTGATTGAAGTGCACACTTTCAGCTTCAATTCAAAGGGTTTTACGAAACCTTTATATTGACTATTTAGCAATTATGGCCATTTTTTATACACATTTACACATTCGAGTTTATTGGACAAACTAGCGTAATTTTAAATAGAGGTTGTGTTATTACTTGCATGAAAATCATTTTCAGTCAATGACTGCCTAAAGTCTCGAAAACATGGACATAGAAAGTGTTGTTTGCTCCCTGGAGATGCTCTGCTTGGCCTTTTCTGCAGTCACCTTCAGGTGTTTGTGAAGCTCCCTGCGTTCAGTTTTATCTTCAGTAACTGAAAAGCTGCTATACTCGAGTGAGATCAGGTGACAGATATTCTTTGGGTCATTATCCATGTGCACTGTGAAGCTTTGTCTGTTTTGCAGCATTTGGCTGAATCTGAGCAGAGAGTATAGCCATGTACACTTCAGAGTTCTTCCTGCTACTTCTATAAACCGTTACATCATCAATAAATACTAGTGAGCCCGCTCCACTGGCTCCCATACATGCTGTAACACTGTAGCCACCACATTTAAAATGATGTGAGCTGATGGATCACCATCTCACACTCTTCTCTCCTTTGTCTGCTTTGTTTTGAATAAGAACCTGGTTTTAAAACTGCTTTTCAGTCAATTGTCCAATTTATTATGAGCCTCTGAAAAGCTGAAACTGTATAAAAACGCCTCTAATTTTGAACAAATGCAAAATTTCTGTGAAACTCTTTGAATTAAAGCTTAAAATCTGCACTTTAATTACATATTGATTGTGGTGGTGATGTACAGAGGCAAAGCTGCAAAAAGTGTCTGATTATGGACCTAATTTGTTTGTGTGGAAAGTTTTGAATACCATTTATTTTTTATCATTTTAGTTATTTATTTATTTATTTTCCAAGATATACATTTTTAATAGTGGCAGGAATTGGTCCCTTCCTGATTTACTGTCAGAAACTCCGATATACTTGCTTTTTCACCATGCAGGAGATGCACAGCAGTACTTCCAGAGAGCAATTATGCACACTAATAATGCAACATGTTCAAGTACACACAAAGCCAGAACAAAATGTTATTAATAATATTGCGGTAATGACTCAGTTACAGAGCTTGCGGCTTTTAGTGTTCTTGGCACGGTGAAGACCGTAATGACCATCAGGAAAAACATTTTCTTGCATCTCAGTTTACAGTTAATATTTTGGCTGGAAAATAGACAGTGGGTGTTGATTTTTAACATCAAGACAGAAATGTCAGATACAAATTGTGACCAATCGAGTGATGATGTGCTTTACTCTCAGATTTGTTATCTTTTCTTTTTTTGACAGTCTGCATCATTTTACTGTTACCTGTTATTCAAGAAGGCTTCTTGTGTTTGTCCAGCAGTTGCAGGGTGTCTGGGCAGCGGATGTGACTGATGGCACCTGTGTGGCTGTCAACAACAAGTACAGGCTGATGGCCTTTGGCTGCGCCAGGTACATGTCTCTGCAAACGTCTCCCTCTCTCGCCGTCTCCCTACATCGTTTACAGGGCAGTGCTGGAAAGCGATCTTGGGTGTGTTTGTTGAATGTGTGTGTGTGTGGTACAGAGAGGTTGTTGTCAGTGTGGTGTGTGTGTGTGTCCAGTGTGAGAATCTGTCAGTTTGTGTTTGCTGAGGCTAAGTAGTGTGTACTCGTCAGGAACTCCTCACGCAGAGCAATAACGCCAGGTTGGCAGGAATTTCTCTCCATGCTGCTTCCTTCTCCCCTTCACCATGTTTCGGACACTATTTTCTACACTGTTTTGTACTTTATTTTTCAAAAGATTGGAAATGTATAAAGTACAAATGTTTTACTAAAGTCTTCACATATTTGAAAACAAGCTTAAGCAAAATATCGGCAGGGAGCAACTGCAGAAATCCAATTTTTAAGCATCTGTGTTTAATGGCATTCACATACAGTACAGATGCTGAGCTTGTGTTGCTGTTTTAATTGTTTTCATGTATGTTTGTCTCATGTTAGAGATGCACAAACATGCTGGCGGAAGCTCACAGCACAGAATTGTAGCTAGGCCGTGACGTTTCATGCAGTTCCTCTCATCTTACACAGCATGTTACGCTGGTTGAAATGCGTGTGTTGTCATTGCAGCGGCTCGGTGCTGGTGTACATGATCGACACCACAACAGGGTCGATGCAGCTCTCCCACAAACTGGAGCTCACTCCAAAACACTACCCAGGTATCCTCATTTTACCCTCAATTCTTGTGTCTTGCTTTTTTTACTCCTTTTTCATCTTAGCTTAGCTCCACTTAGCATCCTTTTACAGGATGTAATGTACATTCCTTCAGCTTTCTGTCTTTCTCTTTGTGTATCTGATATCCTGCATCACTTTTGTTGGATTTGTGGTCCAAAGCCATAGCTCACCCTAGTGGCTGAATTGCCTTATAGACCCATGGCTGTTTAAACAATGAAAATGGCTGGTGTCTTCCTCTTGCTTTGTAGTTAAGAGCTTAGCGTAAAGACACCTTACTTTAAACTCCTGCAGAGTTTGAGGCAAGGTGTGTCATGCAATTCTCCTCCTCTTTAATTAAATAGCAGCTCCTGTAATATTATCCCAGTTGCATCACATTCTACAAACTAAGCCCTCATTAGGTTACCATTAGGTAATATCATTCTGATTTTCTATAAATGTTTTTATCTACAAGAGCCAAATGTGGCACAGTTTTACCTGCAGTGGCCTTTCTGCACATTCAGTCGACTGTCATCACATGTTTGTTAAAATCCCAGTGAATCTAGAAAAGCACAAAGTGTTTGTGCAGAATCAACAGTATTGCTCTTTTGATGTCACCCAACGTGATGCCATTCACAGATTTTGCTCCTCATTATGTATAAAAATGAAAACACAACAGAACTTGGTGCATAAATAAAATAGAAAAAGAAAAAGTCCAATACAACAGTAAAACAGAAGTGTTGTAATTTCTGTGCATTCTTTGCCTTTTCAGACATCTACAACAAGACGGGCCCTGTCAAACTAATCTGCTGGTCACCTGACTGCAGCGTTGTCATGGTTACGTGGGAGTGCGGCGGCCTGTCGCTGTGGAGCGTCTTCGGAGCTCACCTCATCTGCACTCTGGGAGAGGACTTCATGTGAGTGAAGGCACAGATGCGGCCCTGCTACATTCATACAGCGTGTTCGTTTGTAATGATTTTTGTGTGTTTGCTCCCTTTAGACATCGATCTGATGGTACCAAGAAAGACCCCCTTAAAATCAGCTCTATGGTATGTAGACGTTTGTTTTAAGAGTGAAAAAATCAAAATAAAAGTCTTTATTTGTAATAGAGGTGAAAACTTTTTTTTTTGTATGCTGAATCTTGCACTTTGCCCCTTTCTAGAGCTGGGGTGCAGAAGGCTACCACCTATGGGTGCTCCCTCACAAACAGGAGAGGAGAAGACAAGAGGAGCAGGATGTGGAGATGGTTGCACCTCCTAACTCCAGCGCTTTGCAGGCTGGCATACTGCAGTTCCACTTCATTAAGAGCGCCCTCACAGTCAACCCCTGCACGGTGAGAAGATGCACGGTGCTGATGGAAGCATCACCGCACACACGCGCCATGCCCTGCATTTATGCTCCTTTCTTGGCTGTTGCAGAGTAACCAGGAGCAGGTGTTACTCCATGGTGAAGACCGCCTCTACCTGACCTGCGGTGACCCCACACAGATCCATAGCAACTCTGACACACACCCACACACACACTTACACCCGCGCGACGGCAGCCCGCTGCACCCGCCCCCCAACCCCGACTCCTCTCTCTCTCAGGGACTCAGCACTTTACTGGGACACAAGCACTGGCACGTGGTCCAGGTAAGGATGTGCTTCCTCTTGCTGCTCTGCAAACTTCCTGTATGTCATTATCAAGAATAAGTTAGTGCACAGAAACTGCAGTCATTTCTGGATTATGAAAGACAGACGCAAATAAACTGAGTAGCTTGAAGTGGCCTGTGTGTGTCTGTCAAGTTCAGTAAATCTAAAATTTAGCTCGTTGTCATTTCATTTTTTTTAAATTGAATTTTATTTGTCCTCTAGATTCACAGCACATACCTAGAGAGCAACTGGCCTATACGGGTAAGTGTGTGTGTGTGTGTGTGTGTGTGTGTGTGTGTGTGTTTGACTTTAATGTTGATCTCAGTGATGTTTGATAAATAAATGCATGCATTCAGTTTTTATAAAGTAAGCTTGTTTTACATGCAGAAGAAGATAAATGTGAAGTATAGTCCTCTTTTTATGTGGAAAGTTTTGGCTTGGTTGCCTCTGGCCTCCAAAGCTCATTTTTATATGATGTAAAGCTCTATAAACAAGCTCAACTTAGCTTTAAAAAAATGTCATCACACTGGTAGCAAAACCAGTGAGAGCTGTTTTTAGTTTTATGGAGTTGCTCGTTTTCTGTGTCAACACTTGAAATTGGTGTTTGGTGTATCTTACCGACGTCTGTGTATGTTTGTAAAGTTTGCAGCCATAGACACAGCAGGCCAGTGCATGGCTGTAGCAGGGAGGCGAGGCTTTGCACACTACTCCTTGTTTACAAGGAAATGGAAGCTGTTTGGGAATATCACTCAGGTATGTTGACACCTTAATAGATGACTTTGGTGCAGTGATCAATAGGTGGTCAATGACGGAAGAACCTCATCTGAGCTCTAAGATACTTTTATTTTGTCCACACGTTGAAAATACTGCCACTGTAACCAAGACAAATGTGCCAGGAATAACTTGTAACTTCATTTTTTTTTTGTGAATATGAATACACACCTAGCCATGCAGTCTGCCTTCACGAGCATTTGTGAGAGAATGGGTCGTCCTAAAGAGTTCACTGAATTTCAGTGTGGGGCTGTAATAGGATGCCACTGATGTAATAAGCCAGTTTGTGACATTTCCTCCAACGCACATATCCACAGTAAGTGGTGTTACTGAAAGGTGGAAGCATTTAGGAACCACAGCAACTCAACCACAAAGTGACAGACCACATGAAGTCATAGAGCAGGGTCGCTAAGTGCTGCCTAGACGCATAGTGTGTAAAAGCCACTCTGCTGACTCAATAACTGCAGAGCTGCAAACCTCCTCTGGCATTAACATCAGCACAACAACTGTGTGTCAGGAGCTTCACAGTGTGGGTTTCCAGATCCAGACAGCTTCTATAAGTGTGTTTATTGGTGGTTCAGTACTTTTGTCCATATATTGTTTGTGCGTATGTGCGTGGGGAAAGCTATTCCATGCAAAAGCTCTAAAAATGCAGTTGAAAATAAAATTAGAATAACAGTCTGTTTAAAAAAATGAATTTGTGCACAAAAGTGTTTTTGTTGGACAGTACCTGATAAATGTGTTGTTGCTTTTTTCTGCAGGAGCAGAACATGACAGTCACAGGAGGTCTGGCTTGGTGGAATGACTTTGTGGTGGTGGCCTGTTACAATTTTATAGACCAGCAGGAGCAGGTGAGACTGAAGCACCACCTATAATACCACCGTGTCAAAAATCCCTTTGGTTTTTTTGTCTGATCTAATGCCTGTCTTTAATTTTGATGTCTCCGTCTGTGGTCTCTCTGTAGTTGAGACTCTATCAACGCTCATCCAACCTGGACAATGCCTTTGCTTCAGTTACTAAGCTACATTCTGACACTCTGCTGCTCAATGTCTTCAGAGACATGGTCATACTCTTCAGAGCTGACTGCTCCATCTGTCTTTATAGTATAGAGAGGAAGAACGACAGGTGGGCTTCTGTACACACACGACTCCAGTCTTTACATCACAAATTAACCGTTTCCGGAGAAGAACGTCATCTGTTGGTGTTACGCTGGGCAGGTTTTATCCAGCTCCCGAACAAATCAGTTTTTGTGCCAGTGACCGTTATGGATGGAGGGCCTTATGTTGTTGGGTCCTGCTTTCAGCTGTTCATTCATCACTTTTCATGAAGGTTATATATCTGGAACGCCTTGAGAGAATTCCCACAGATTTGATACGTCGGTTTATTTGGATTTCAGAATTTGTTTGGAATACAGTGGTCAGAGTCAAGGTTGCTCGGCTCTTATTCAGGAAATTATATGCGAGTCTTAACAAAATTTTATAAAAATGTCAAATATGATGAAAATTATTCTTACAAATGAAACAAAAAACTATAATGAATGATTCTTGAGATGTTGCTTTCCTGTGACCACTTCATGACTGCCGGCCTTGAACTGGTTAAACAGAAAAATCCTTTTAACGTGAAGCTGTCACAGTAGAAAATGTAGAATCGTTGTATGGTTTTCAGCTCTTTTCTTTGCATTCTTGGATTATTTTCTTTCCCGTGCATCAGTCTTCTTTCATTAAGCTCCTGATTATTATTATCATTCCAGTCCAAACCCGACAGCCAGTGTGGAGCTGCTGCAGGAGGTGTCGATGTCCCGTTACATCCCTCATCCAGCCCTTGTGGTGTCTGTCACTCTCACGTCTGTGCGCACCGAGACTGGCATCACATTAAAAGCCCCGCAGCAGGTAGTGCAGGAACACAGTAGCATACAGCAACCGCCGATCTGTAACTACAGGTGTTTTAATAATGCCTCGTGTGTGTGTGTGTGTGTGTGTGTGTGTGTGTGTGTGTGTGTGTGTGTGTGTGTGTCAGGCCTGCATGGCAGAGAGCATTATGTTAAATCTGGCTGGCCAGTTGATCATGCTACAGCGGGACCGTTCAGGACCGCAAGTGCGAGAGAAAGACACGGCTGCTGTCAACAAGAAGCTGGTGAGTTCACACTGATATCTTTGCATGCAAAATGTTCTAATAATACTGATATCCATGCAAACAGAAATCAGACCTCACACCACTAAAACTGAATTTTAGGCATCCCCTCATAACAGCTTTGCTTTTTTTCCCCCCACTAGCTCCCATTTTGTCCCCCTGTCGTGTTGGCCCAGTGTGTGGAGAATGTTTGGACCACCTGTCGATCCAACAAGAAAAAGCGCCATCTGCTGGAGGCTCTTTGGTTGTCCTGTGGAGAAGCGGGCATGAAAGTGTGGCTGCCACTTTTCCCCCGAGACCATCGCAAACCCCACTCCTTCCTCTCCAGACGCATAATGCTGCCCTTCCACATCAACATCTACCCTTTGGCCGTGCTGTTCGAGGATGCCCTCGTACTGGGGGCAACCAATGAGACTGTGCTCTACGACGGGATGCAGGGATCCTCAGAGCCACTGGAGGCACTGTTTCCCTACTGCACAGTAGAGAGGACCTCACAGATCTACCTCCACCACATACTGAGACAGCTGCTGGTTCGCAACCTGGGTGAACAGGTACTTGGAGCAACCTGGCTCAACATATCTGCTTATTTTTATAAGGGTTTTGCTTTGCTTGGAGTAGTTTTGACTACATTCTTTGTAAGCGATAACACAGGTCCATACTGTAATCACATTAGCCTCGTAATGTTCTTACCCTGAGCAAAAAGAACCTCGAAATCCAAGTCTGAAGAAACTGAGATACTTGTCGCCAAAGAGGAAGCCAGAAAAGGTGTAACTTTCCCAGGTGTTTACTCTGGAGTGACGATGGAGAGGGGGGGGGGGGACAAAGAAAAGAAATGAGGCTTCCAGCACTGCATTTTTAAGAACAGATAAGGCAATTTAAGATGAGATATTTGATACTGGAATACGTTTAAATGAAAAGGTTAAACCCTACTTTTTTTCCGTTTGCAATTTTGTTCAGGAAAACTTTAAATAAAGACCAAAAGGCACTGATCACGATGATGATGATGATCAGGGCATGATGATGACAAAGCTCTGAGAAACTTTCTTTTCAAGTTTGTGTGAATTAGTTTGAATTACCAAGAAATTCAGGTATGAAAATATTGATAGTCAGTGAAACGGTCGTGTGTGCGATGTTAATATATGAGAGAACTTATTCCTTTCTTTACTGTTTCCTTTCAAGGCTTTGATGCTGGCTCAGTCATGTGCCTCCCTCCCCTACTTCCCCCATGTCATGGAGCTGATGGTTCATGTAGTGCTGGAAGAAGAGGCAACGTCGCGGGAGCCCATACCCGACCCGCTGCTTCCCACCGTTGCAAAGTTCATCACAGAGTTCCCCCTGTTCCTCCAGACCATCGTCCACTGCGCCAGGAAGACCGAGTACGCCCTGTGGAACTACCTGTTTGCAGCCGTGGGAAACCCCAAAGATCTGTTTGAGGAGTGTCTCATGGCTCAGGATCTGGACACAGCGGCCTCCTATTTGATTATACTGCAGGTAACGAGCGGAGTCAACAGCTCATATTACCATATTCTGCATTCCCCACTTCAGTTAACTTTATAATGGCAGAGATTATTTGCATTTTCACCCTTGAAAATCTTTGGAAAAGAGTCTAATTTATTTTTCCAAGATCTTTAAAAGATCCTCAAAGTCTCAGGCGTTCCTCTTTTTCTCCTCCTCCATAAAGAATATGGAGGTTCCAGCAGTGAGCAGACAGCACGCCACTCTTCTCTTCAACACGGCTCTCGAGCAGGGCAAGTGGGACCTCTGCCGGCACATGATCAGATTCCTCAAAGCCATTGGTTCAGGGGAGATGGAGACTCCGCCCCCAACCCCCACTACTCAGGTGAGGAGCTGAAAATGTTACAGAAAGACAGTGACTGTCAGTCTGTCTGGCTTCAAGCAAGGGCACCAACCTCGTACGGTTTTATCTTTATTCTGTCTTAAATTCACTGACTGTCCTTTAATGATCTTTTATTGTCTCTTCCTGTTTTATTTATTTGTTTTATTCTGTGATTACAAATGATTACTGATTGATACTTCTGCTTATACTGTGATCCTAAGTATACAAAAAATAGAAAATAAACTATCTCCTGTTCACATATTGCACAGCTCTTTCTGACTACATGCCCATGAAAAGCGCTTTTTATAAACTTTAAACTGGTAAGCTTCAAACGTGTTTCTGTGTTCAGGAACCCAGCTCAACTGGAGGTTTCGAGTTCTTTAGAAATCGCAGCATCAGCTTGTCTCAGTCGGCCGACTCGGTCACCGCAGGAAAGTTCAACCTGCAGAAGACCTTCAGTATGCCTTCTGGATCTTCTGCTAAAGGGTACCTGCACATTATTTTGCATAAAAGTGGACACTAGTACTGCAGTTTGTTCAGAATGTGCTCTGCTCATCTAACTATTCCTGTCTTTTCCCTCTGTTGCATCCTCCCGCCAGTCGGGATGTGGAGTGTGCAGAGAACATGTATATCGACATGATGCTGTGGCGCCACGCCCGTCACCTCCTGGAGCAGGTGCGCCTTCGTGATCTGGGATGCTTTTCCGCTCAGCTGGGCTTCGAACTCATCGGCTGGTTATGTCGCGAGCGAAACCGCGTGGCCCGAGTTGATGATTTTGTATTGGCGCTGAAGAAGCTCCATAAGGACTTCCTCTGGCCGTTCCCTGTCATTCCTGTGGGAAACCTCAGCTCACCACTGAAGAATGGACGGTGCCGTACAGGTGAGTGAAGAACAGGAACGTTTACAGAGAAATCAATTATTACTTTAAATATTTAAAGGTGATGGTTGAATATCCATCCAGTATGGTGCCCCAGTTTGCATACTACTGACAATTTAATCCTTACATGCCATCACTGGCTTCATCGCTGTAATTCTTGCTGTTTTTCGTTGTTGTTTTCAGTGCTGAGCCCACGGTTGTTGAAGTCACAGTCAGCAGACAGCCTGCTGAACAACGACATGGACACGGCACCGCCCCCGACAGCTCCTGACAACCACACCTGGATGGACGGGCTTGAGCAGAGACCCAAAGACATGGACACAGCCTCTTCTGCTCACTCGAACCAGCACTCACCACAGACTCATGAGGCCTTCCTGTCATTGCTCACCAACAAAGGTAATAAAACTTTAACAGTTATTCCCTTCTTTTGTTTTCATCCGCTTAAGCTGAACTTAATCTTTCACTCACTGCGCTTTCTAGTCGAGGAGTACAGCATCGGCTCGGCCACAGACCTCACAGAGACCAGCTCAGTGGTGGATGGCGACTGGACAATGGTGGACGAGAACTCGTCCACTTTGAGCCTGAGTCAGGCCGAGCTGGAGCACATCTCCATGGAGCTGGCCAACAAAGGCCCGCACAAGTCCCAGGTGCAGCTCAGGTGGGACCCCACTCAAACTATGGTCGTTTAATTCAATGCAAAATCAACACGTATATTTAAGCTGCGCCTTCTGTGTGTCTATCAGATATCTTCTCCATGTGTTCATGGAGGCGGGCTGCCTGGAGTGGTGTGTGGTGATTGGTTTGATCCTGCGGGATGCAAATGTCATCAAGCAGGTGATCAGTTTCCTGGACAACCCAGAGGTTCCTGCGGAAAATGTGCAGAGTGTCCGAAACGGATTATTAGCAGTCGATGCGTGGGCCTCCACAGACTGGTGGGTAGTTCTGTGCTGGTACCGATATTTTTAATCTATAAAAACACGTTATGTAGGGGAGAGCAGTGTGTTCTGATTTATGAGATGTCATCTTTAGTTTGGAAATTGTGACACATTTTTAATGACCACTAAATCACTGTGATTTTTTTTTTTTAATATTACACAATAGGGCAGCACAGTGGTTAGCACAGTTGCCTCACAGCAAGAAGGTCCTGAGTTCAATTCCACCATCAGGAATTGGAGTGTGGAGTTTGCATGTTTGTGTGGGTTCTCCTTGGATAATAATAATAATAATAATAGTGGATTGGATTTATATAGCGTTTTTTCAAGGCACCCAAAGTGCTTTACAATGCCACTATTCATTCACTCTCACATTCACACACTGGTGGAGGCAGCTACGGTTGTAGCCACAGCTGCCCTGGGGCAGACTAACAGAAGCCAGGCTGCCATATCGCGCCATCGGCCCCTCTGGCCAACACCAGTAGGCGGTAGGGTAAAGTGTCTTGCCCAGGGACACAACGACCAGGACAGAGAGCCCGGGGATCGAACCGGCGACCTTCCGGTTACAGATACGCTTCCCAACCCCCTGAGCCACGGTACTCCAGCTTCCTCCCACAGTCCAAAGACATGCACTTTGTGGGGATAGGTTAATTGAAAAATCTAAATTGCCCATAGGTGTGAATGCGGGAGTGAGTGCGACTGGTTGTTTTTCCCTGTGTGTTGGCCCTGCGACAGACTGGCGACCTGTCCAGGGCGTACCCTGCCTCTCGCCCTATGACAGCTGGGATAAGGATAAGCGGATGCGAATGCGTGGATGGATATTACGCAATAAATACAAACCACACCTTCCAGCAGTACCATCAGTCCTAATACACTAGTATAGAGCCGATACCAGTGCCGGCGTTGTTATCGATCCTGTTATCAAAAGTCACGATCAGTAGCAATCAGATACCGATACCAGTATTGATAACTATGCTATCAGTATTTGGATTGACCTATCCAACTCTACTGATGGATATAACAACTCGTATAGAGAGATTTCTTTACCTTTTTTATTACAATAAATGTTTTGTCTTCTTCCCGTAGCCTGGGTTACAAACCATTCCTCAGCCTGATCCAGCCGCAGCTGCAGCGGCTGATGGAGTCGACGTCGGAGCAGGTGCAGCCTGAAGCCTTCCAGCCTGCTACCCAATGCTCCAAGCTCAGTGGCTCTGAAGGTCTGGGAGGAGCCGCGGTACCTCGGGCAGAAGACAGCAGAGGAGTGGTGACCCCGCTGGGCCTGGCCCTGCCCTCTCTCGAACCCGCAGGAGTTTTCCCCCGTCCCCCATCTGAGGACTGTCCTCCCGAACAAACGGAGGAGCAGGGGGAGGAGGAGGGAACCTACGACTGCACCTTGTCCTGAAGCCTCTTCTGGACTTTTTAACCTGTGAACCCTTCAAGGGCCGGAGTGGAGAAAGCTGCAGCATTGGCTGACTGGAAAAAGACTTCATTTGTGTGAGCGAGCGTGTGCGTGCCTGCGTTTGTGCGCCTCTTTGTCGGTTCCTACTTCAGTCAGTATTACCCACTCTTTAGATCGCTATCAGCCCGACAGGCACAAAGACATCACAGCACAAACTGTTCCTTTTTAACAGAGCTCATTTCAGCAGATTGTGCTGGTAGATTAGAGAGGAGGGTTACTCATGTCAGTTGTTTTCCACTTGTGTTGTTTTGGAAGCTGTAGAGCAGCACGCGAAAGCTTGGGTAGAGCGATAGAATCAGTTCGAAGGGTCTGTTCTGATCTTTGCGCTAACCGCGGAGCATAACGTAGAACAAAGAAAAAGCTCGAGAACCTTTTACGGGACTCGCTGAAGTGCGTCTGAGCCTACAGTACGTGAAGCGTGCCGTTCTGTCTGTGTGCACAAGAGGTGTTTCATACTTTCATACCTCAGTATAATTTTAAAATATTTTGTGATACCTTTTTTCTATAATGTAACAGTGTACAGGATGACATTATTTTTCTATCCCTCTGCAGTCACCCTGTGACCAAAAAAAAGAAAAAACACCCTCAGCAGATGATTCTGTGTGATTCTTTAAAACAGTTGAATTTAAGGTTTCTAAGAAAATGATCTGTGAGTAGAATCCCACTGTTCTGAGTGCAGACTAGTTTCTTACCATTGATCAGCACCTCGCCCGCCCGCTGCCCACCCCCTCCCTAGTGATGCTAAAGTACAGAATCAGCTGCCTCGCCCTTCCCCGTGTGGGTTTTCACACAAAGCAAAGCAGATCTGTGTTGATCGTTCTCAACACTTCCTGCGCTGAACAAAAAAAATAATAAAATAAAATCACAAGATGCTCTTTTTTTTTTTAAATTCAAAAAAGGCTTTGTTTCCCATCACGCGAAAGGCACATCATTAGTGAGTTTTTAAAAGCCATCAGGTGGATCGTTGGCTTGTCAGCAGTGTTAGGAGCGACGCGTTAGTATTGTTTTAGTTTGAGGGATTGATTGTTGTGCAATAGATAAGTCGCCGTGTGGTTTTTGACCCTCACCCTCTCGCAGTTCGTCCGGACCACCCGCGAGACGAGCGGGAGGCCGATCGCCGTGTTCTCGTGCTTCCGAGTGGAAATCTGAACGCGTGTGCAGGGCCGTGTTCACACCATGTTGACATGATTGGTGACTCTGATCACGTGGAAATGATTTTTATCATATTAGTCCTCGTCATTACTATTATTTATTGGGATTATTAGCTGAGAGATCATTCCTGCTTTGTTTTTAATGACTGATAACAAAACTCCTTCTCCCTCCTCTTTAGTTATCAAAGTCATGCATTGGCTCAACTACAAGCACTAAAAGAAAAACAATGAGTCAGTATTATATTGTGCAATGTATTGAAATGTTACTCAGCTTTATTTTTTTTATGCTTACTACTGCTTTTGTGTTTGTTTTTTCTTTCATTCCCCCCCAGCTGTGCGCTTCTCATCCTAGACCAAAATGATAAGTTATAGTTGGGTGTGTTTATCTGTTTAGATTCTTGAATGGTTTCTCTTCTACGAGCTGCCCGTCACTATACACAAAAAGGTTGAGACGGCCCGAGCGGCTCTGTATCGTCTACTTCGACCCTCCTTCCGCTCTGAACAAGCCTACAGCTCCACTACAAGCTTTACTTGAACACGGACACTTGATGAACCAAAGACTTTACGTCCAGAGGCCTTCTGTTTTAACCCCGTTGCTTCGATTTGAACGTTCAAGTCCTCATGCAGAGGGAGGAGAATCTCACTCGCGCACATCCCAGCCCTCTCATCAGAAACATCATCGCTCAAAACTAATGCTGACGGTATGCGAGACAATTTCCTACGGAAATGAATATTTCAGCTCTTTTATGGTTTCCTTCTCGGTGAGGGAGGAGTGTCGTTCGCTCGCTCAGTAAAACGTGGACAGCAGCTCCCTCCCACCCGTGTACAGTTTAAAAGTATTGCTCGTTTCCTCAGAGTCGAGATTTATTTCTGGGGCAGCAGACATCCTCAATGCAGTGTAAAGATACTCTCTTGTACATTCGCCTTTTCTACTTATATTTGGTTTTCTACTTCATTTTCCCCCCCTTGTACATATAGACCAATAAATTATTTTTAAAAGGTTTGTCTGCCTCTTTGACCTCCTTATTTTTAAAGCAACGCAGCAGCTGCAGACAAAGCAGCAACGTGTGTGTGTGTTTGGCTTTAAATACTCTAGAAAAGAGCTCTTATATTAATGTTTGACACCAGAAAAAAACAGAGTTAACTGACATATTAACATCACACGGGGGAATCTGCTGGCTTTAAATTGACTGTTTTGTTAAATTCACGTTTAAAAGACTGTTCTGGGTTTTATTCTTCGAGCTGTGGTGCCCTTGCAGTGTTTATATTAAAACATAACTGATATCTGTACATGCAGTTTTGAAGTAAGATCAGCAAGCAGGAGTGGTTGCATTTCCTCTGCCTGTAGAAAGAGAGCAGAGTTATTTTACTTATGCAAAAATTCTCATGGCCAAAATGTAATTTTTAGTTAAACAAGTGTCAAATGGTTGCCATGTCAGGGTCAGCTGTAATAGAACGGCAGGGATTTTGTTTGTATTGGTGATATACTTTACAGGCAGAAAATGGACATATTCACTCGACTTAAAGTGACACTGATTGGTCAGTAGCCAGTTACCATGCCGATGTATCAAAGAAAAAACAGGCTTAACCCTGAAGTTACCTGGGTGAACATGAAACCCCGCCTCACCATGTAGCTGATATAGCTGATGATGTTAGTGTCCACGTCTGAAGAAGTGACACTTGCCAAGATTAAACGTAAGAAGCTTTTTAATTGCTGTACAAGTGTTAAATTAATTCAAACTTTTTGCATAATGTGAAATCATCCCGTAAATTGAATACATGGATACCCTGTTAACCAGACCCAATAATCCAAAGCTCAACAGTCAACAGTTCCAACTAAGAAAACAAAACTTCAAGGAAGAAGGTTAACGGTTATGTGACGGTCGTTAGAAAGAAAGAAAAAAAATCTGTCTTGTTAGAAATCAACTCTAAGAACAAAACTAGCAGTTACAGATGTGGATGAAAGGTCAATTTAAAGAAAGAAAAACCCCAAAACTTCAAATGTAATATTTTTAGATATCACATTAAGATATTTAAAAGTATCCCACAGTTAAAGAACGTATTTCTTGACTTGATATGGACTTCTAGACTGTTATGTGTGAAGAAGATAAAGTCCAAAATCTGAACTCACGCTCAACAAAAACGTTCAGTGCAGTGCCCGTCAGCCTCTCAGCCTACACTAGTTCACACTAACACAGTAACGCATAGTAAATTCAAATCACTCACATCTGAAAAGGAGTGTGTATGAAGCTCTCGAACACTGGGAGTAACAGCAGTGTAGGGTGAGCCATTTCTCAGCCTTTCCCCGCTCTGCCCCTCTATTACAGCAGTACCTGCTCGGGACAAAATGAGACTTTTTACTGGTCTTAGTAAAGAAAAAAAAAATCCATCTTTCAGTCTGGAGCAGCAGGATCAAGTACAGAGTCGGCCGTCAGTGGACAGATCAGAAAAGACTGGACTTTTTTTTTTCCTCCCAGGTTTTAGTGCCGCACTCAAACTGCAGACACCCGAAACGTGAACACGGGTGAGGTGATGAACGTTATCATGAGGTAAATGGCAAAACAACCGAAATGTATATAGGCATGGTACTTTAGTGAGAGCAAAAACTACATCACCACCAAGCAAAAATCTAATTTGTTTAAATCTTTGTCCTTTTGAAGGAGCACTGAGGTCTCACTGATCTTTGCAGGAATCAGCTGATGAGGTGAAAAAGTCCAAGCAGGCGCTTTCGCCTGCATCACACGGGCTTCCTCAGCAGGTGGAGTCGAAGCGCTTCAAGTGCCTGTCGTCAAAGTTAAGACTGAAATTTTTTTTCATTGCTATGAAACCAGTAAAAAGAAGTATCCTTTATCATTTGATCTGACCCGTGAGGCGACACGAACACAAACTCCACTCACGTGCTGAGATATAACTCCAGAATAGCTACAGAGTGGCTCAATATGAATTTTATGACTTTAAAATAGTTTGACTTTCAAAAAAAGAGCACAGTGGGACAATCTGCTGAAGGCTGTGATGGATGTTAACAATCCACGGGCATGAAAACGCTTTGCACTGTGGCACTTGATAGCTTTTAAGACCACGGAGATGTTTGTGTCCACAACAGTAAACGTTTTGTGCGTCTTTGGAAGCAAAACTTTAAGGCCTCCTTTCATTGTGATTTCTCGTTTTGTGGCAAACAGACAACATGGTTCACGGTGACACCTCGCTAGGTAGACTCGAGGCAGACGAAAGACTTGATTCATTAGTCAACAACCCGATTCCACCTTTGACTCCTTTAAAGAGGAGTCAAACCTGGGGACGCAGGGAAGTCAGACTTTCTGAAAACACAGATATGGACATCTGTAAATGGATGAAGCCCACAGATAAGCATGGTGACACTTTATAAACCATTTAAATAATCTCTCTTTTCAACATTAGTTAACTTTTGTTAGCTAAATCTCCTCTAAAGCTTTCCCACAGTAACATTCAATCTGAAACTGTTATCTCGGTGTTGAGTTTGATCAGTCCGGAGGTAGTGGTAGTACCATGTGAAGCTGACTGTGGATGTGAGCTACAGAAAAAACAACAGCACAAATAAAACTGAGCCCTCTCCAGCAGCTGATTTTACATTCAAGAAAGGGAAAATCAAAAAGTGGGAATAAAAGCCAATCCCAGATTCCCGAGGTTTTCAGACGCCTTATATTGTCTGACCCACGACCCGGGAAGGCATTTCTTTTGCTTACAGATGCAATAAACAAAAGCAGAGGATCCCATTTGAAAATCAATGAAGCAAAAGATTTGTTAAAGTCACTGCTGGAGACAGCTGGAAGCATAGTCAAGTTTTCCTTTCCCCCCCCCCCCTGCTCTTAAAAAAGAAGAAGAAAAAAAAAGTGCCGTTATTACTACAGTAGGAACAAATATGAAACGGATGCAAAGGTACACCCCCCTGTGGACTGGGGGGGGGTAATCCTGAACAATCTTAAACCCTAAAACAAAATTAAACTGCATAAACACATCAAGTGAAATTACACTGCCCTCCGGATTTAACCACCACTTCCAGAACAGCTTGAATTCAGACATCTGTTTTCATTTAACAGTTTTCTGTCTGCACGCCATGTCCTCCGACAGTTTAAGCAGGCGTTACATTCCTCGTTAAAACGCGTGGCTTCAAAAATTAAAAAAAATAAAAATGAGTGGTCTTAGTAAAGAAGGGCAAGTCAGTAAATCAAACTATTAAAACAAGTGCAGGTTAATGACAAGTGACTTTCAAAGTATCCGGTTAAATTCAGAGGAGGAGAGAACAGGTTGAACTCATCCATCATGTGTTATTGCACCCTGCGATGCACAGCGCGGTTGGTAGACACATTTAATATGACAACGTTCAGAGTGGTTTTGCTGATAAAGAGCAGTGGAGGTAGCCGTGCGGTGTTAGTTGTTCGGGAGGAACACTGGCGTTAGTGAGGAAGAGCGAGGGTGGATGTGAGCGAAAGGAAAAGCGAGTTACAGCAAGTAAAGCAAAAGGCACGATCGAACAAGTAGAGAACAGAAGAAAAAAAAAAAACTAACCCCTTCCTTTCACTAAGCCGGGAGTGAGCACAGCACCAAGCATCTCTCCTTGGTTAACTACAGTGCCTATTGACACAGTGGTGGGGGTCTCTCAGGCTGGCTGGGGTGGAGCTCGCATGTGTTGTGTGTGTTACAGTTTGAGTGAAAAGGCAGTGGGGTCACTCCTCTGTATTCTTCCTTGTAATCTCTTCTACATCTGTCTTGTGGAGCCCTGTAGGCCAAAGCTCTCCTCTGCAGCAGCCTCGTGGATGTGTGACATCCTCAGTATCGGTACATGTCATAGGTACTGACCCAGGAAGAGGGAAAAGCCCACGTAGGGAACCTGTGAAGCATTTCCTCCAACCGAGCAGTCCTCTGGTCTTTCCCAAAGAAATAGTGGGAGGAGATGGCGACTGAGACGATCCCCTCGGGGCCAGATGGGTCAGGGTCTGCGGGAGGCTGACAAACAGAGGGACAGAAATAAAACAGCAGAAGAACCAAATAAGATTAGCAATGTCTTAAGTCTGATTATGCTGCATGAGGAGTTTGTCTGAGCCACGAGGGGTTACGTGCAGCATTCATTGCAAATCGTGGCTCAGTCCCACTCATTTTAAAACATGGGCCACATGCAGCCGACTTTGATCTTAAGCAAGCGGAATCAGTGAAGCTGATCAGTAAAGCAGGGGAGCTCGTTATAGCTGCAAAAGTAAAACTGATGAAAACATAGTTCAAAGTCCAAAATTCTACATTTTTCTGATTCTGGCCCCCAGGCCTTATGTTTGGCCGTAATAATAGGACAAAAACCTCGTGACTTGGAAAAATCTGTGGTTTCCCAGCAGTGTTTTTCACTTTCAGCAAACAACTGCAAGTAGTGGGGTGACCAGCTTCAGATGGCAACTGCACAGGTTGTCTCCAAATAATCATGGGTCTCACTGCTGGACTGACTGCAGTCACTCAGGTTTACAAATAATTACCATCGAATTTATAAATGAAGACAAATTGACAACATGTTGCAATTAAACAGTTAGTCATCTGTGACAAATTTATTTGCAATCCTGGGATTGACTCAACTGGTTATATTGTGCTTGTATTAAACTTTATTAAAAATAAAGTTTCCAGTCATGTGTTATTTTGCACTCAAATTGCCATCCTGCAGCAACTATTTGTGGAGACATTTCTGTGTCAAATCCATGTGGCTGTGGTTGGACTCTGAATCTAACAAGTTAATGTGAATTCCTGTGTGTGTAGATGGCAACAGGTACATGATATTTGCCTGTTTATCACAGTTAATTACTGTAATTTGCAAAACTATTGCAGGTAATTTTCGGTACAGACTGCTTGATGCGCCAAAGTCACTATGAAGATGGAAATAGGAAATGTAAATAAGAAGAAAAGGTCAGTACCTGTATTTCAAACCAGAAGGTCCATGTGGGGGCGTCAAGGCCATGTGAATAGAAGATAAAATATTCTCCGCTCAGGTCAAATCGAGGCGTCCCGTCACCGAAGGACCAGGTAGAGAGGCTGGCTCCTCGATGAGGCATTAGATACAAAGACATGTGGCTCGGGCCTGCATGAGACAGGAAGGTCAAGGGTGAAACACAAAGTGATACCTACAGCTACAAATCAACGCACAACACTCTCACATTCTTCACACATCCTGCACATGTGATCACATGCTCTTTAAAAATGGTCATCAATTTTCTGATTTACACCTGGTCCATGTTTTGGGTTTGCTCCTTCTGCTATCACTTGGTACTTCTTTAGATCCCCAAAATCTTAACCCTCTATTAGCTGCTCCTGACCTTTCACACTGAATGTCATCTTGATCGTTCCCCAGCTCGTCTCTTCTTTGGACAGCAGGCTGAACTCCACCGGAGAGCTCGGAGACACTTCCGGAGCGGGGAGGTACCAGTTCTTCCTGCAAACACACGGGAGCACTTGTGAAGTTCAAAGCATGACTGAAACAAGCATTTATTATGACACCAGAGGCATCAAAGCTACAAGGCTGACCTGCTGAGGAACTTGACAGGCAGGAACCAGGGATAACCACAGAAAGGTCGGTCCTCTCTGCAGCGGGTCCGAACCGTTTCGTTGATCTCGGGGATGTGGGGTGTGATGTGCTGCATGCCCGTGTAGTCAAAGCTGTTTATCCACAGACCTGAGTCTCGGCTCTCCACTTCTCCCTGGAGATTGTGGAAGGTCCGTGTTGTATGCTGCAGGGAGAGTAACAGGAAAAGAAAAACAACGAAGTTCTTTGATGTTAACATGTTCTCTTTTCTTTCACGTGCTTTGTGCTACATCTGTTTAGCTGGAATGACTCAATGTAAATTACATACGTGAGCACATCAAGGAGGGAAATATAATAATAAAAGATGACAGAATTATTTTCATGTTTAAGAAACACAATTTAACACGTCAAGAACACTCGAGGAGTTGGGCTCCTCGAGACTGTTTACAACTCGAAGGATTTACACCGAGGTGCAAACGGGCAGGTTGCACTCAAGAACAGGAAGGCCAGATTAGACTGTCATACAAGATCTAAAAGAGGCTGCACAGTTCTGGAAAAATTATTGGGACAGATGAAACCAAAATGAACATGTGCCGGAATGAATAGCGGAGAATATTATGGAGAAGAGAAACAGCTCATGATCTGAATCATACCACGTTATCATTTAACTGTGGTGGAGGTAACACTATGGCATAAGCAGGTATTGCAGCCAGTGGACATTGGTTTCTTGAGGGTGTGACTGCTGATAGAAGCAGCAGAATGAATTGTGCAGTGTACGGGACTATGAGCTCAGCTCAGATTCAGCCAAATGCTGCAAAACTGATCAGACCATACTTTAATTCAAGGGTTTCAAGCTCCTGCCACTCATTTAGAAATGTCTTCTCGCATCATTTTCATTTCAAACCGAGTCACTCAGACCTCAAACGTCATGCAATGGACAGGCCAGAGCTTTAGGTTTTGGCCGTTATGAATACATTTACTGGTTTTGACTTCTCCTTGCAGATCCAGTTTCTCTTTTTCTTACATACTGTATCTGTATCATTTTTGTGTATATTTGTGTTTTTGTGTGCATGTTATGAATTTCAACCTGCAGGAAAACTCTCTTTGGTCGCGGACTGTCTAGATCGCCCGAGTAAGGAAAGAAGAGGCCACAGGACACCAACAGGAACATGATGGTGAAGACAAACCCAAGACCTGCCATGATCCGCTTAGTGCTACGCACCAAGTAGATAAAATGCAGCTGACAAAGACATGAGCATGTGTTACTGAACAGCAGAAGGAACGGGCATTTGAAAATACAACTAAGGTGGCACAAAATACCTGATTCTCCAACACATTTTCTAAATTAAATTCACTTCTGCCAATTATACTCCATACTATACGTATATTTCCTTCTGTATCTGGTTTGAAAATAAACTCACTACTACTACCAGATTAATCAAAACAATTCTTTAGTCAAGTATATTCTGTCTAATTCAAAATGGGATTTCTCTGTTTCTTCTGCTTAATAAAAATCCTGATTTTCTTCTCACTCCTTTATATAATGTAGTGTGAAATACTCACAAAAAAGGAGGAGAGGAAGATGGTTGCCAGAGTGACTAAGGAGGCCAGCACCACCTCGGGGGGTATCTCTGTGCCACTCCGCCCCATGATGGGAGTGAAAATCTCAAACACCACCCAGATGAGAAACATGAAGTGCACATATGGCAACGCCAGGCCCAGCAGGTACAGCACGCAGTACTTCGCTGATGCTCCTGGAGAAAAAAAGAAATCTTTGTCAGGTATAACTGAGCCAGAGAGACACACACACACACTGGATTCTCGTAGCTGCCCCCAAATCCATCTTAAAGAGAAAAGCGTTTATACAGTCTTCAAAGTTTAACATCTAAACACTACAACTCAAATGTGATTCCAGTCCTGTTTTCTGCTGTGCAAGCAGAAAAAAACAACATGCTTTGCAGTGAGTTTTGCAGATTCAGTGAATGTGTGCCTTATTTCCTGCCTACAATATATTTAGAAAAACATTTCGCTGAACTCTGCTGCTGCTACTTAAGATTTGTCTGTTGCTGCATGATCCATCCATCATATTGTTACTATTTATCCAGCGACTTAATCATTAAGGATCCAATCCGGAACCCTTTTGATCACTTGGGGGCAAAAAAACAACAACAACAAAAAACACCTCTTTGATACATATCTATCTTTTGTGTGTATTTTTCAAAAGACATAAGATAGTCTGACAAGAACTTTAAGCATACACAGGCCTTTGGTCAAGAGCACAATAGGAGCTAGAAAGGAAAAGGGTTCACCTTTATTTCATGCAGTTACTTGGAGTTACTTTGACTATTTCTGTGATAACACAATCGTCTAAAATAGCCTGATAAGATTAGAGTACAATGAGAGGATGCTAGCTTCATCTTACTGCTAAGAGAGCTTATAAAGAGCAGGTATGAGCATATACATAATTTACTCTTGTGACTCTAGAAAAAGTATTAATAATTAACCAACCGTCCTTACTTTCAACAGTTTTTAGTACCCTGTGCTTCATTCAATCATGGTAAACAAGGTCGACTTTGAGATCAAGTCTTTACCTCTGTGTTTGAATTCTTTTGCCAGCAGCAGTCTGGTGGCCAGGGGGAAAGCCACCATTAGCATGGGCGCGTAGGCCGAACACAGGCCATGTTGGGTCAACCACACCAGGCTGCAGCACCACAGCAGCAAGCTCACGTCAAAGTAAAGGTCACCCAGCTCTACCAGGCGGACGCCCTGTGAGGAAAACAAAAGCTCAACATACAGGAAATGTGCAGGGGAAGGTGTGTGATGCTTTGACAGATGAGGATTTAACCTGTAAGTATGAAAATCTAATTGTTGTTTTGCAAAACAACCACGACAACAGCAAAACAAATACAGAGAAGTTCATCATACTAATCAGAACTTTTGGGGGGATATCAGTAACAAATTAATGTCACTAATATACTCACCTGCCCCATAGATTAGGCATAACAATCAATGGATTCATTTAAAAGTGTCAAACTTTCAAACTGCAAACAACTGACTGCCGAGGCTTTTGGTCTGCTGTCAAGTTTCAGTTCACACGATTTAATGGTGAAATAGTACATAGAGGTTCTTATTTGGGTGAAATGTGAGTGCTGGGCTCTTCTTACATAAACTGCAAATAAGATCATCAACTCATCTATGTGGATAAAAAACAAGAACTAACTTCCACGGCTTTATCCCGAAATCACAACTGTAAACTAAAAGGAGGATAAAACAACTTAAGAAAATGACAATCACTACAACTATAACTTGTATAAGTTTAATTTGAGGACTAATAATTTCTTTACTCTCTGTCCTTGGAGCAAGACATTTTTCTTGCAGAATATACCATTCAGGATTAGAGTAAGGAAACATGCCGTTCTCTCAATAGTCATGTTGTTTCACTGAAGCGTTATGTAATCTGGGACAAAGGTTAGTCTGTGTCCTTACTGGAAATTGGCCATGATAAGCTGCAGTTCACATTGTGGTAAGCTGAGGCTCCAGATCTAAATCAATTCAGTGCAGCTCTTTCAGCTTTAAATTAGTGCTCGTATTTTATAAATGTCACACATACAATACGCCCATTCAATTTCAACCATCTGTTTCTACAAAGTATTCAACGACTTACCAAAGAAACCTATAACACTCTCTTTTAAAGCATGTGAGAAATGGATTTTGCTTTTATGACAGAGGTGCTAACATCTAAGAGCTGAATGAAAGCCTATTGAAAACCACAGTGAGAGAGATCAAATCTGGTAAATGTACATGTGAGGCACAAAGGACAGTCTGTCTCACATTTCTACAGTTTTATAACCACACACAGGCGACTGTCAGCAGTTTACCGAGTCATCATGACGCATCAGTCACAGTGAAATACTGTAATATCCACTTTACTACAATCAGAAAACAATCAATAAGAATAATTTAAGACCGATTTGAACTCTACAATCACCGTCCAATTTTTAGGTAGACTTTGCTAGGACTGGGTTAGACCCTTTTCTCTTAATTCTTTGTAGAACAAATTGAACAATGTGCTGGAAACACAGATTTTGGTCCATACTGACATGACAGCATCACACAGTTGCTGCAGATTAGTCAGCCTTTCATCCATAATGTCAATCTCCCATTCCACCATACCCCGCATGTGCTCAGTTGGTACTAAGGAGCACATAGTGTGCCAATAAAATATACTCCAGACAATTTCACTGCCACCTGCCTGAAATGTTCATCCAAGACTAGATGGATGCTTTCATACCAAATTCAAACTCTACTATCTGAAAGTTACATGGGAAATTTAGGCTAATCAGCCTATTCAACATTTTTTCCAACCTTCTGCTGTCCAGTTTTGAACTGTAGCCTCAGTTTTCTGTTCTAAACTGAGAGGAGTGACTTCTGACCATTCTCTCTAAACTCTGGAGATCCCAGTAGATCAGACTGCCGGCAACTGTGCCACATCCAAGGTCACATAAATCACCCTTCTTCCCCATTCTGAGGCTCACTTTGAACATTAGCATGTTGTCTGCAATATGGTTGGCTGATTAGACATTTGCCTTAATAAGCAGTTGAACAGGTGCAACTAACAAATTTAAAGAATAAAGATACTTTTTCCAACTTTAACACAACAAATAGTCCAAAATTTGTCTGTGACAATTCATTTTTCCTATTCATCAAATATAAGTGGGTTTTAGAAAGAAGCCACATCTTTGACAGTGATGCATAAAGTCACTTTTACCATACAATCAGACAATGCTCCTAAAAGGTTTAACAGTACATTTCACATTCAGTGTTACTGCTACTGTTAATCATGCCCGGCCACTCGGTCTCTGCTTGAAATTTACTGGAAGCTCTATATTTAAAACTCCACTCACTCACCCCGTAGTACAGGTTCTTGGCCAGTGTGTGTATAAGTATCATCTTGCCAGTGGCTGCAGCTCCATACAGGCAGACTGAGGCATAGAAGTGGTTGTACCAAAACATGGAGCGGCCCAACAGAGTGACAAGCAGGGCCACAATCAGCACCGACAACAGGGTGACAAACCAGCTGAGCAATGCTACACCTGTGGCGCAGGCCAGGTCTCGAACATAGCGCCCACCTTGGAGACACAGAGACAAGTGACCAATTAAGCCAATAACTTAGGATTTTACCAATTTATTCTGCAGATCCACAAGAGCTCATCAAAGCTATTTGTTCTAAATATTAAAACTGCAACATATCATTAAAATATACGCAGCTTGGGGCCATTAATGCAAATGAATGAAAGCATTTCATGTTCATTACTTTTCTGGTAAGTGATGTAACCCTAAACCTTAACGATCAATTTCTTAGAAAATGACCTCTTCAAGGACTACCTTGCCCCCTAGTCAGAATCCTTGATTTAAAGACCAATCAGTAACAAGGATTAAGTGCAGGAAATGGTGACCTACCTCCATGGCCAGGCATTGAGGCTTTCTTGGCCAGGTAGAGGAACGTAGCTGTGGCCACCATGTAGTTGAGGATAGTGCCAACACGAGCTGGGTAAGCTACCACAATTACACCTAGCAGGTCAAAAAACACCATATTGCCATGGCGGTACTCTGAGGAATCAGCCAACTTTTCTGACATTGCCAGATACTTCAGAACGGCCAGGATGTTGTCACCTGAAAACAGGACGTAAATATGGAGTTAAAGACAGTCAAAGCTTCAGTGCATTTACTCCATAAAGAACAGTGTGCATCATCTGGGCAGCCTGCCATATACAATCAAGTTATCCAGACAGTAAATGACAACAGAATAAGAGGAACTGGGAGGTTTAGTCAATAGAGGTTTAGAGTTTCCACCACTTGTGATTTTATCCTACATACGGGAAAATAAACAGATTATATGACTGAATATGAAAGTGATAACCTCATATGACTAAAAGGATCATCCTTTACAGAGCTGACATGTCACATGCATTACACCAGTTACTGTTGACTGAGCAGAAAAGGCTACACAGAGGGTGGCCTGTTAAATGGCACTATATTGGTAAATTACAGCCCCCAACACATGCAGATGACTACTGCGACCTCTTACACAAACAATAATATTGTTTATTAAACACACATATACTGTTTTACTCACAGAAGAGTTTTTCCCCCCATGACAGGACATGTAAGAGAGGATGATAGGATCTGACAGATAAGGACAGTACTCAGTGGTGTGTGTGTGTGTGTGTGTGTGTGTGTGTGTGTGTGTGTGTGTGTGTGTGTGTGTGTGTGTGTGTACAAATCTTATTTACAGCTGTACACAAGTTGACGGGGCACCAAGGGCTTTCTGTTTAAATTGACTCCAAATATGAAGTTCAGCTCAGATCAGAAATCTGATTACAGGAAGGAACAGCAAGAGCGAGCTATACAGTGGATATAAAAAAATACTGCCAGCGCTACCCATCAGCCTCGTAGTAGATACACCTATGGTATCAATTTAAAAATCCTGTTGCCTTATGAGCACAGCCTTAAACTAAGACTTTATTGAAGCACCTTTTGATTTTATCACAGCATACCATTTGTCAACATGGCATGTCTTGACTTGGGAACAGTTGCCTATGCTTCCTTGCAAACACACTCCAAATGTGTCAGATCTGAGTTGTTCTACACAGCCCTCTTCAGGTCACCCCACAAATATTCTACTGAAAACCTAAAAAAACCCAAACTTTAATTTGCTTCTGTTGAATCCATTATTTTGTTGATTTGGATGTATGCTTGTCCCTCCACCTTTACGAAAGCCCCAGTTCAATCTGGAATGGCCCAACAAGAGTCCAGATGTAAATCCTTAAAAATGTGTGGGATGACCTGAAGGGAGCTGTGCACAAGTGCTACCAGATAGATTTGCAGCACTTGTCTGAGGAAGAGTGGGCAAATCAAGTCAAGATGTGCCATGCTACCCAAATCTCCCCTTGTGGACAATTAAAGGATTATTCTATTCTTTTAGTAGAGTCCTACTCAGGAATACTGAATGCACTCATTTTCACAGGTTGTAGGTCACATAAAAAGCGGGAAACGTTTTGAAATGACTCACTGTCGTCCCGTATTTTAACATCACAAAAACTTGGCATTTTTACAGGGGTGTGTAAACTTGTTTTCAATCCACTGCAGCAAAACAAAAAAACAAAAACAGTTTTGTTTTTTTTCCTCTGTACTACACTACCTCCATATCTGCACAGTTAATGGCACAAAAACACAAGGCAAGACAAAGCTCCATTGTTCTTCCGCCTGGTAGCTTTGCTGTGGCCAAAACAACACTGCACAATCAAGATTTTGTACAAAGTTCACTGCTTGCAATTTGCTCACATCTTTCTATTTTCTGTTTCTATCACAAAGCCAACACTGATGGTAATGATAAGATCCATTTTATAAACATGGCAACATGCTCTTTTTAGAAAAACATTTCACATATAATCTCTACAAGAGATCCACGCTGCGTTTGCTTTTAACAAAAGTGAATCGCTTGCTCCGCTTAGACCAAACCGAGAGACATAGATTTTTACGCAGAGGCCAAAGGGTGTATTCATCACAAGCTTCAAAAGAGCAGAACTGCTGATAGATCCTCGCCTTCCGTGCTGTGTCCTACTCTCCACCTTACAGCACTTTTCTGCCCTCTTCTTTACAGACTAAAAATACCTTCTGCCTCCATCTGAAATCTCACTTTCTCTCTCTAATAATTCATGCCTTTCATGGGGAGTTGCTGCACACAGAAGAACAGAAGGGTGATGTCCAGTAGTTGCCAACTGATGCCAAGGTTTTTAGTGCTGTCTGACTGGATTCTCTGCTAAGCAAAGCAAAATTATTCAGCAACGCAGAAGCACAAGGGACAACAGTCTGTGACTGCCGCTGTATGTGTGCATATTTAAGTCCTCAGACAGACTGGTGGACAAAGGACAAATGCACAGCAGGTGTCTGTAACAGAAAAATGGTGCTGGAGTGACAGCTCTCACATATTTGCAATGAGTCTTGAATAAAAGCGTAATAAATATTTGAGCATGGAAGCATATGAGGTCCGCTGCTTACCCGCTCTCTGTATCGAGTCTGTTAGGATCCTGTTAGCTGTATCGTACTTGGTGTGGTAGATGAAGCCGTTTTCAATGAAAGCCAGATCAATGCCTGCAAAAAAATATATTAAACCAGAACGCCAGTAATGGAAAAGCTCATCCAATTCACAGGTTACTGTAACTTGTGAAGCACAGAAAAAAAAAGTGATACATTTCATTGTCAGTGGTTCTACTACGCAAACTAGCAAGTATTAAAATTCTCAGAGAAGTCAAGGAGGCTCGAAAACTCACATCCCAAAAATCTGATTTCAAGAAGAATAGGGATTCTTTTGAAAACTCATAACACAGGAAATATGACCTTAAGCATAATTTAGGTGAAGACCAATTGAGTGGATCATTGTGTGCAAGCTACACTAAATTCTGACCAGAGCAGCGGGTCAGGAAGCACATCCTTCCTAACATTTTTTTAAAAAAGCATAATAAAGTAATGTTTAGCTATAAACATATTCTGCAAAGAAAACTTGCATATTTTCCTTATTGGCTTCTGTTATGTAGTGTAAGAATCGGTGGACTTACCTGGGATGTTACCAAAGTCCCTAAATATGCGGAAGTCCGTATCTGAGGGAATGACACCACTCTGAAAGACCTCCTGGCCAACCACAGAGGCGAAGGGGTGTTTGGCTGCATGCACGTAGGCTTGGACCAGCCACGGGTTCTCTGGACCTTTAAGGGAGAAGAGGCTGCTGAAATATTTTAGATACCTGACAATTAGCCTTGATTCCTAAATTTTGTCATACAGATTCATCCTTTTGTAGACAAAGATATATCATCAAAGTTATTTATCCCCTCGCCTCCACCATTTTTAAACCTGCCTGCTTGTATTTTGGTATTGTAAACATTTAAGTCTCTTTAAAGTACTAAACAAAGGAACAGTAGTTAACTGCTTTAACTGGAGAACCTGCGATGCTTTTTTGCATGCATGATGGTAGGCTGCACACACAAACACCAAAAAAAGGCATCATGACAAACAAACAAGGCTAATTCCTCAAAGTAGTACGTTACAGTACCTGTCTGGAAAACAACCTCCTTGCCACCAACACCTGCAGCCTCCAAATTAATGAAGGCTCGCACCTGCTTGGCCCATGGGTGCTGGGTAATGAAACCATGACTGGCCTAAAGGAGAGCGTGGGGATCCAGAGAGACAAAGAGAGAAACAACAAAAAGAGATACAAATTAAACAAAATGACACCAATTCTCCTTACAGGCTAGTTTAACATCCCACCAAATGTTCTTTTTACCTGCAGTACATTTTCCTCTGCCCCGTTAAACAGGAAGATGACGCCGTGGTTAAGAGGAGTTGACTGGTTGGCCAGAGAATGGAGGACTTCCAGCATCACTGCACAGCTCACTGCATCATCACTGGCACCTAAGACAGAGAAACTGTCTTAGACAGAGAGCAGTGTGTCACGAATACCAATCGTGGGCTTCTAGTTTACTAAAACATTAGTGAGAGCAACAGAAATCAGTCTTAACCTGCTATTTACATCCAGAGAAATGCAATTAACATCCATCTGTCCTTACCTAGCAAAATAATGCGAGATAACAAAACACAGATGGTAGAAATAAAGCTCTAAATTATGAAGTGTAGAGAATAGGCCCTGTGTGAAGGAACATGTGACTACTTGATTACCAAAAAAAAACAAACTTCCACCACTCCTGGTGAGAGAATAAAGAAAAAGGGGCACCAATGAGACGAAAAGAAAGGAGCATGTGATACAGAAAGATTACACAGCTCAGCAGTGAAAATATACCAAAGTAAGGAAAATATGACCTGCAGATCAGAGGGGCAAACTCAGACATCATGTGCTCTGGCTTTCTACACTCAGTGAGTTCATGAGGTAGGGGTGGGGGCTTGTTCACCCTGTGTCTGCATACCATCCACATATGACAGTAGCATATTAATAGTTTTCTCTCACCATAAGACTTCAGAATGCATGCATCTGTGCAGGTTAGCTTTAAACAGGAAAAAAGTATTTTGAATTAACTTATGAGTTTCTTACCAAGTCCTGGCTGCTTTTATTCTTTGTTTTTCCATAAACAAACTTTAAGAATTCCAAGAAATCAAAGGCTTGGCAAGCACCGGGGGATGTGAAAATATATGTGTATCTTCCTGGTCCACACCTTTTGGATCAATTTCCTTTTACCAGTGTAGCTGTGTGTAACGCATATGTGTGTGTGAGAATGAGAGCTGGGAAAACATGCCTACCCACAATGCTCGAGGGTGTAGAGTTAAAAAAAAAAAAAACAACAACAAAAAAAACTGCTGAATTAAAACCAGACTAAAGCACAATGGCTGCACACTGCAATGTGCTACATATTTAAACCAAGCAGGGAAAAGAAAAGTTTACAATTCATCCTGTAGGGCCTATAAATAATGATGATTGTTGTTAAGAGTTTATGTACATCTGCGACATTATTTAATGTGTTTATAGATCAGATTCTTTATAGATATATCTGTGCCACTTTTACAATTGGGGCGGGGAGGGGGAGGGGGTGTTTAACTAAATTTTAAGTATCAAAGAAACTATTTTATGACACAGTTTTAAAACAGAGTAGAAATAAAGCTCTCATGCACATGTTCTTGCATGTAACTCAGGCGTGCAAAAGCTCCACTGCAATGACTGTTTTTTTTAACCAAATGTCACTCAAAAAAATTTAAAACACCAAGTGGTTTTCTAAATGTGTCACTCTAACTACAAATGACAGCAAATCAAGGTGATCAAAGTCAGTCTGATGAGCTCCATCCTCTGGAGACCATAAATAGTACAAAAGAGCACTTGCAGTACAACAACAGATTTAAGAAGATGTTTTTATAAAATGCACAGAATTTGCTGTTGACATGGTCTCCAGTTGTTAATTTGCAAGGTGTGAACTATAAATAAAACAAACACCACCACACTCAGGGTTTCACCCTCACGGAGGCATGTCTGTTCAAATGAGTAATTAATTTGTTTTTACCTGGACTGTTGGCCACTGTGTCAAAGTGGCAGTTGGCGAGCATGAGGTGCTGCGCGCCACCCTTGGGCTCCAGCCTAACGGCAATGTTGGTGATGTGATCATAGAAGCTAGTGAAGCCTCCGAGGAAATCAATGGAGAAGGTCCCAGTGGGACGCTGAATATCAATCGAGAGTTGATGAGGGCCTGCGGCGGTCTCGACCTGGATGTCCTTGATTTGCTTCAACAGGTATCCCACTGTCAGGACCTCATTCTCCTGGCTGCCCACAGGCCGAGGGCCAGCACTAGTAATCTGCTCCAAGTGCTGCCTAGATTGAGAGGTGAGAGAAAAGGACAAAGAGAGAAAGAAAAATAACCTGCCATGTTTACTGTGAAACATCAGTAAATCAAGGTAACTTGTCCCAACAGATCTGAGCATAGCTCATCAATTTAACAGTTCAGTCATGTAATTACAGAGTCTGATTGAATGCCACTGTGCATGTGTAGACAAAGCATCAACAAAGTTTCAAAAAACTTAAAATATATTAAATGCATGTCCTGAAGACATGAGTGAACTCACTGACATGGCCTGTAAGAGAAACAACGAGGCTTAAACTTTTGTATTAGACAGTGAACTGGCTGCTGGCTTTGCTGATTAACAAAATATTTGTACAAGTACTTTAACCCAAGTGTTGTGGGGCTAAACAAGGTTGTATATGACAAACAATGTTAGATCATACTTTACTGTAATTGTGTCTCCAAAGAGGCAGCTTTTCATAACATATATGGGGGGGGGGGGAACTGCTTTAAACCTACAAATTTAACTGTAAAAGATTACAATTTTCACCCTTCTTGTCTTGCTTTCTACTGAAAAGTGATTGAATACATGCAGAACAAGACTTGGAAACTGAACTGAGCAATCTTCAGTATTTCCTGAAGCATTGTACACAAGACATTTTTAAGGAAGCAAAACAATTGATCAAAGCTTAAGAGTGAGGTCTGGGGATTGGAGAACAGTGATATTGCCTTAGGAGGTGCTTACTCCCTTTCTTTCTCTTTAGAAGAAAACTGCTGTTTGCTTTTAGAGATACTAAAATACAGCAGTGGTTACTGATACTTAAAACAAATGAACTGTGCCTGATATCAAACCACGACCTCTAAAGTCATGTGTTGTAGTCCAGCTGTTATCCGTATAGATTAAAAACCAATCTCCTGCTCAATTTGGTTTTCTTGTAGCCAGTGTGGCACCACATGATATTTCAGAAATCTAAAGTGCTGCTTTCACTCAATTTTTCAATGACCTACTGCAAAATCTGGATTTGTGGGCGACAGACACAGAGCTCAGAGCTCTAATCAGTTCAAATGCAGCTTGTCTCACTCATTTATAGAGCAATGAGCCAAAAGATGGCAAATCCAGCTGCTCTGCACTTTCAGCAGCTCAGATGACCTCAGATTCAATGCTATAATCCCTGCAGCCCTCTGTAACGCCATGAAACTGAATGAACTTTTAATCTGAAATTTCTACACAGTCTTTTACAGGGACAGGATGTGTGATGTTTATTATGATCCCTCTTATTGTATTTGAACATTTATTCGATTTTTTTCCCTGTGTTTTATAAAATGTCAGGGTTGATAAGTAGGATAGCTCCTGATGCTTACTGTCACTGATCAATATGGTGATTTCTTCTTCTCCTCCTCCTCCTGTTTGTTAATAATGTAATCTAACAAAAGCCCTGCTCCCAAAGGTGTCTTTTCTGTCTCCCACTACAATAAGAGAACTAACTACATGTACATGCTACCGCTATGCTCACGTGCTTTAAATCCGCATTTCCTGTTTCTCAACCGGTCCTTTAAAACCCTTTGTCGCGTATTTGCATTGGAAATGCACCAAATAAAAAACTTACTGTGTGCTACCGTATATAAATAAACACCTACTTTTTTAACATCTGACGGCTTTCAGAATTAGGACTTAGACAGTAAATTTGTTATTCATCTACCCAGGGGTGGTTTTAAAAGGCTTACGGGAGGAATAATGGTTAACTACATCAGATTAGTCCTAATAGTCGCTGCACCTATCCTCTCCTGAGACTGGCACCTGTCCACTTCGCGGCTTAGGTTGAAGGTAAAGGTGGAGATGGAGCGGAACAGGCAGTGGTTTCTGGGCAGGTCTCTTTCCCAACAGAAGAAAGATTAACCGGGCCAACACCTAGAGAATAAAACTGGTCTTATCGTAAAACTCACCTGGCTCTCACTGCGTTGAACTCGCCCGTCGGTTTTCCAATGACAAGCTGCTGCAAAGACAAGTGAACGAGTGCCCACAACACCAAAATAAACACAGAGACCAGGGAAGCTGCGAGCCCTTCTCGCAGCAGGTAAAGGTTCACTTCGGGCTTCCTCTTCGGCTCACCGTTGTAGCCGTTGTTCTCGCAGCGGTCCTGGGCTCCGTTATTATCCTGAGCGACGTATTGTTGAGTCCCGAAGGGTTTTATTCTCCGGACAGTGGTGTCGCCCTCCATTTCTAAGCCAGCGGTACATCAGCTGCAAGCGTCGCTCTCGGTCTTCGCCTTTTTCTTTTTCTTTTTTTCCTCCTCTCTTCGGACGACAAACGGATCGCGCAGAGGGACAAACTTGAATGAGAGGGCGGGAGGAGGAGGGAAATCAGAAGAGATTTGTCGAAACGTTATGCAAATTAAGTTACATTTCTGTGCTTACTAGGACTTAAAAACCACATAAATATATATTTATTTATATTTGATTTAAAAACGTTTTCTTTTTTTACTGACTTCGTCCGAAAATAAGGTTTCATAAAGCTTTTATTCTCTCCTTTGAAGTTATGCTTCTACCACCTCCATCTCGGTTGTTTAAATTTCCCAGGATTCGATTAAAGATTCTCAGAGTACCATATCTTTTTCTTAAAATTACTAATATAAAAGAGATATCGGGAAAAGACAAAAAAAGGTGAATTATATAAAAAATTATAAATTATTATAAAAAAGTGTCAATTAAATACATTGTCTCTCTTATTGTAAGGGGATTACCCTTACAATAAACTACAATGGTTAACAGATTTATTAGACTATACCACCCAGAGTAAAGTTTACGTGAGAGTTGCCCTAATATTAACAGTATTGCTAATCACTAAAATCATATTTTATGTTTCTGTAATGGTTAATACACAAGTATGTACTAGATCTCTATTTAAATATTAATATTTCTATTTTATTGCTAAAATATTTTGATTGTCACCCGTGAATTTTCTAATTTTAAGATTATAAATTGAAGTTGTATACTTCATGAACAGAAAACTTTGTTTTTAGTGGTTGAAAGTTCACAACATTATGATAAAAATTCATGTTTTTGACAGGTGTTCTAATAAATTTCCTAAGTGCTGCAAATATGTTTTATAACTAAGTTCAGTGTGTGGAAATTAGGTGTGGTCATTCTTGTGTTTTGGGAGTATAGCTTCATTGTGTTTTTGAGGCTGTTATGAGGCGTGTTGTAGTGCAGATGGAACTGAAAGAAGATTCACAAACACAATTTATTTTTTTCATCTGAAAAGATACACTTGATTATGCTGTCTCACCTACTACTACTACTACCACTACAACATCAGTGGGGTCTTCTCCATGCAGCTTACAATGAACTTTTTTTTATTTCAACCTATAACAATTATCATTGAACTAAAACGAAATTTTAGAATGTTGTCGCCACCTGGTGGACAGAGGGAGCGTCGCACGAAGTCACTGAATGCCATTCTTGCCATCATGTCTTGATTGCTATAGCACAGAATGTGTTCATTTTCCAATGAAAATTGACTCATTTTGTTATATTAACTTAGATGTAATTTTCATAGATCTGATTAAACTTAGATAAAAAATGCTGTAAACCAAACCACCTAACATCTATCTAAATCTAGCAAGAAACGTATAAGCACAAGTTTAAAGGTGGTATTTTTCATGTAACCCTTCACATTATAGTCACAATAAATTAAATTAAGTAGAAAATAGAGATTAAAGACTGGCAAATATTGCTAGGAAAATGAAATGTAATTTAGGGGAAGAAGTAATCAGAAAATACAAAACTATTACATTAACTAATACAGAAACAGAAGAAATGTTTGGGGTAATTTAGGAATGATGTGATCGCATTCTTTGTGTGCACTATTGCATCTGTATTGTTTGCAATACAATACGTGATGTAAGTAAGCGTCACACCTGAGCAGACTTCCTGAAATGCTCTTATTACAATTGACTAACTTTTCAAATATACAATTCACAAGTAAGATCATTTTCTATTACAAATGAAAACCTTCATAACCAGTTAAATTTTAAGTGAAACCACCCAGATAAACGTGACATGGGAATACTCTACGAAAATACAATCAGGGAAAAACTGCAGGTCATAGTGTGGCATCTTTTACTTGTTCAAACGCATACACATGAACTTCTTTTAGCAATGCAGCCAAATACTGTGGAAAATACGAGTTCAGATACCATATAGGCCTCATATACAGTCCTTTGTTCTAAGTTTTTCTCTCTAGGTGCCTCCGGGCCCAGTAAACACAGCCCCCCCTCTACTGGTGTGTGCTAGCATAAAACAAGCTAAAGAATATAAACAGAAGAAATCGCCGTTTTAAATAAATGTTTCTATGCTTCGAGGAGACACTGTCATAGATCACATTTACTATTTTCCAGTCACATACCAGGGAGAGTCAGTTTTCTCAGATATTGGTAAATGTGAGATTCTACATTAGCACCCTAAAATATCTTTTCCGTTAGCATTTTTAACACGGTTAGCATTAGCTTAGTAATGTAAAGTTAGCTCTAAATAGGCATAGCTTTTTTTAATGCGTTTTCCTCTTTCACAGTAATAGTCCCCGTTAATATTTTTAATTTGAAATGAATAAAATATACAGAGAATAAGGTAAATTTATGACATATAGTTATTAAGACAAATCATTGATGTATTGCTAGAATACTAAGTTCTTGTTATATTAAAAATAATCTGTTTCGACTTTCTCATTGTTGCGGGCAGCAATGTAATCTTAGTTCAGATCAGTTTAGTTTATTTTGTAAATAAGAAGAACATGTAATAAAGTGTTTTTCCAAATGCTAAAAGAAAAAATATCGTGTAAATAATGTGTTGCATAAGACGCAACGTCCTCACAACTATTTTGAAAATAGGAAGTGGTGTTTTGTGTCGTTTTGTGTCGCTTGACTTTCTTTTTTTTAACCAGCTCTCAGCTCCGTGAACGTTCACTACCGAGTGGAGCGCAGCAGAGAGCAGTCAGCCCGTCGTGTCTCTACCCGAGGCCGGATGGTAAAATCCAACCTCCAGCGGATCCTAAACAGTCATTGCTTTGCTCGCGAGAAAGAAGGAAAAACGCAGCCTCTTACTACCATGGCGAATTTGAGTAGCGGTATTTGTGACATGATTGGGAAGTAAGTACCATCACCTCGACTAAGCTAACGGCTAATCGCGATGTGGGGGGAGGGGTGGCTAAGCTAGCGGCCCACCAGAAAAGCGGAAGTAAATAGCATTTAAGTAGAACGCAGTATCATCAAATACCCTTTAGGTCACACTTTTTTGTCTGTTGTGTTTTTAATATTCTTTTAAAAACTCTCATATTGAAAGTACGTAGGCTTGTTGTGTGACCCCGAGAAGCAGTTTAACCAGCATTAGTTAACGTTAGCCGCAGACGTCGTTGAACTTGAGTTGCGTCACTGCAGTTAGCAAGTAGGCAGCATTTAACAGTTAATCGCTTTGTCAAAGAAAGTAAAAAGAAAACACGCAATTTAATACATCATGTTGTGAAATACGTGCCGACAACGTAAACTGATATCCTTCTTGAATGAAGCAGATCTTTATACGGCAGCTGTCGTGTGACATTGTTAATGCTTAAAACTCGCCTCATCGGGCTGTGCGCATTGAAACAGGGAAACAACGCTAGTCCCGCTGTTCCCGTAAACATTTGGTGGCCCCAGATAAATAAAGGACGGAAGCGAGATTTATGATACCACTAGACTGATTTTAAAAAGGTGAACACGTTTTGCTGACTCTGCCATCGTGAGCTGACTCGGTAAATTATTACGCAACTGCCATTTTACTGAAGGTGACGTGAGAAGATTACTGTACACAATGATGGACGTACCATTATAAATGCGCACACGTATAACACTGTAACCGAAGAGGACGCTCAATACTAAAGACTTTTTGGGGTGGTTTTTATCATTTGGTGTCAAATTTCTAAATGACAGACAAAATATAGGATAGAAGTTCTATTAAGTAGTCATTAGAGTATTAATTTATGTCACAGCTACTGTACGTACTACTGAAATATCTGAAATATTTAAAATTCTTATTAAATCGTTCCTTTTTGTCTAATCACTCTCTCAATTTGAGATTGTTCAAGTAAAATAAAGTCAGAATTTCCTTAGTTTTTCTTCAGTTCCTGCTCCTTAATTGTGTGGATGTGATGCTACTTTTGTATTCATACTAAGCAGAGTAGAGCGTGAATAAAGCAGTGCTTTATCTAACATCAGATTTAAGTTTAGCCACAAGGTCAGGAGGTCAGCCCTCTGCTCCTCTAGTCTTACATGTTGAAGTGTCCTTGGGCAAGATCCCGAACACCAGTTTCCCATGGTGCCTGTATTGTAGTGTGAGCTAGACAAAGATGCTTGTTATAGGAAAGCCCTTACTGTGTTCAAAGTCAGTAGAAAAGTGCTATTTAATTGGGGGGAACAAATAATAAGGAGCAGATGATTTAATCAATATTGTGAAAAGTAATCAGGCTCAGCTTACTATGTGATCACTAAGTTATTGTATTGATAGGCAGTCATGTTACACCATCATCTATAACAAAAGGCCTACTTTGATCAATGCTTTGTTCTCAAAGAAGTTTGACCTGTCAGTGTAACACACCACAAGATGGTGTTAATCTATGAGTTTGCATCACAGCACGTAAAGGTTTAGTTTGTGGATTTGGCCGTTTGACTGTATTAAGCTGTTAATTTAAACTAGGTGAATTAACCACACTCAAACTGGAGCTTGAGAGTACAAATCCACGTTTGCACTTTTAAAAGCAAACGCTTGTGGCTGTTTGCCTCCCACCTCATCCTTCTGCTTTGGTGCGCTGGCTCCTTTAGATGCTTTGTAAACATAGCGCCATTGTTGTGGGAACTGAAACTGTAAATTATTTAAAAGACCAGACCTGCTGGTGTTTGTTTGTAGCCTTTGCTAGTTTAGTTTGTCAAAACCTTTTTGGTAAGCATAATTTCTAATCTTGTGTTTGTTTTTCAGATAATTAAACTTCACAATATTTTAAAAAATAAAAAAAAAATCAGCATATCAGTGTGATCAAACACTGTAAGAACAAGAACTTCCTTTGAGATGAGTGTGCCCAGTGCAACAGTGGTTTGGGTTATCTGTAGCCTAGGGTGTTAAGGTGTAGACACAGCAGCTGCTTCACAGTTCAAATAAAACAGTTGCACGTGACCCATCGGGGTTTTGTTGGCTCCGCTGTGTGCCATAAACATCCTCTATAATTCATTGGTAGGAATAAGAACCTGCAGGTAGTTTTCAGTAGTGCACAATGTGAAATGCTTCACAAAATCCTCAAAAAAAAAAATTACAGGAAATGAATTTCTGCTCCTCTTCT